CCTATGTTTCAACCCCTGAGGGGCAAGTATCTGAAGATTTATGTAGCCTGTTACACTAGGCCTTTATTTTTCCCTCATAAATGCCTCTAAAGTTTTCCATTCCTCACGAATTTATGGGCTGAGGAATTTTAAAAAATCTTTCTTGCATGAACTTGGCCTTCCTCAAAATTCAGTGAAGTTTGTATTCATTTCCATTTCTAGTCCCATTGCTATCCACAATCAACTAAGCATGATGGTTAAGCTGGCTAACATTTTGAAGGTAAAAATTATCTATTATCTATCTGCCCATCATCTATCTATCTATCTATCTATCTATCTATCTATCACCTATCATCTATCATCTATCTATCTAGCATATCCCCTGATTTGAGTGCTTTCACCCTACTAATGCAGCATATCCTTCAGTCTTGCCTTCCCTCACATCTAAGTGACATGAGCTGTAAGCAAAAATCCTCAACCTTGTTTCTATGATGAATACTAGGTTAATATAAGTAAATCTTGAAAACTTGGGAATTTGCCAGTCCCAACTTTTTGTTTAATTTACATAATCATTTGAATAGGACTGCATATGTTAAGGAAACATCTGTAGTTTTCTAATGCATTAAAATGAGATGCATTTTTTTTTTCAGTATTTGAAATTATCACTTACTGATTTCTTTTGGGTCTTTTTTTTAAAATATTCATACCAGAGTCCTCCAATGCAGGGCCCTGGATGTCATATTGCCTAACCTTTCTCTATGGATCTCACTTTTAATATCATGCCTTTAACATGGTAAGATGGAGGATGCAAGCAGCATTCCTCCTAATTTTCTCCTCAGATAACTATGCCCTCCCCAATCAGAGCTGAAGGGTCCTAGAAGTGGGGATCAAAATATATTTTCAGATATTTGGTGGAACTCTTAGAAAGCTGCATGATGAAGCACCTTCACAAAAAATGTAATCAATTGTGAACTCTGGAGAGATGTAGCAATACCATAGACAAACAATTAATCTCATTTTCATATGTTGATTTTCCTTAGAGTGAGGTCAACCTGTGTACCCAAGATGTCTAAAAAATATATTTCTAATATCACTCTTCTCTATCATTCTGGGATGCTTATCTTGAGTTCTTTAGCTTTAGCAAAATATCCTGATATACCTTACCCTTTAAAAAATGTGAATATATAAATGAGGCATGTGGGATGGTGGAGAAACTTCCTCTTCTAAGCATTATTGTACCCTCATTGAAGAAATATGTTACTGAATTAATTTTTCATTCAACCAAAATACATTCAGTCCTATATTGCATGTAGTAGTCATATGTGTTTTTTCCCCCACTTACTTGTCCATTCCTAACAACACCTTAATTTGTTTCTGCAGGATGATTTCTCCCCTAGTCTGGGTATTCTTGGTAGGATGGTTAATCCAAGATCCTGTCCTACTACTATCAAAACCAAAAAGCTCCCTGAAAATGTCTTCTGCTGCATCTTTCCTCTCAATACTTAGTATAGCACACAATTTAAGCCTATCAGAAACAGTCTCATGAGACTCTGACTCTTATGCTGGTAACATGAGGCTAGAATAAATTACAGTTTATTCTCCCCAATAGTGGTGCCCTCACAAGAAGATTCCCTGCTAGGAGACTACCTCTATGGTTTCTAACTGTAGACTCCTTTATTTTTTCAAACCCTGTTCTTTAATCTTACCATATATTATTTGAGTTCTCAAAACCCTTTCAACCATTTTTTCCCTTAGGCAACCAAAACTGATAATATTACTAGTTCAAGGACATTTGGTTTCTGTTGCTAGCAATCAAAGAACCTAGACTGAAACATTATGCTAGGCACTGAGAGTAAAGAAGTCAACAAGACAGATAAGGTTTTTGCCCTCACAAAGCTTAAATATTAATAGAGAACATAGATTTACTCAGCACCAAAATAAGAATCCCTAGATTAAGAAAAGTCAGCCATTGCTTTCATATGCTCATGTAGTTTAGACCGTTCATTCATTAATTTATTCATGCACACAACAAATATTTATGGCATGCCTACAAGGTGCCTGACATTATAAGCATGAATTTAATCCATTTTATTTGTTTTGCCTAATCAACAGAGCTATAACTAGGTACTTCTTCTATTGCTCCAAACTTGTGTCTCCTAAATTCTTGACATTTAGGACCAGAAGCACACCAATTAACCATAGGCCTGAGCTGATGAAGATACAAGCCTTACCTCCTCTTACCCTTCCACTTCCCACCATCCAATATTTCTGGGTACAGGGGAGATGGACCATCACAGATGATCACTGTCACTTTTGGGACTTCTGGAAAAAAAAAAAACAGTAAGGATTAGGGTCCTGGGCAGGAGCTTTCTCAAACTTCCCCCAGAGAGAGTTTAATACTAGTCACTGTTTGTCAGCTTGCCCAAAGGGTATCCAAAGCACAGCAGAGAATGAATAGTCAGAGATTGTACCCTGAAAGTTCCGAGGGCCTTTGTAAATTTTCTGACCAATACTTAGTAATGAGATCTTGTTTGTGGTATTGAGAAGTGAAATTCTGCCTTACCCAAGCTACACCCTCCCCCCCTAAAAAAAATCCTGGAATACCCGACTCTCAGCCTGACTAGCTAATGCAACATTTCCTGCTGGTGAAGCACTTCTCTTCTATCATATCCTTGTTTAAGTCACTCACTATTCCAATGTGTATATCTGGTTTCTCCTGCCTAGGTAATAAGTAAGCTGCTGGAGGTAATGGCATAAGTATGACATGTCTGAATCTTTGTCTCCATGTCAGGGCTCAATGAATGCTTGGGGGTTGATTGTTGATTGAAAGCAGCCCAAAGGTGTGCTATTTTGTGAGCCTAGGAAGAGCAAACCAAAGATGCCTGAAAGATATTTAATCATTGTTTTCTCTACAATTTCAAACTGCTGTCTAATTTGTAGTAAACCCATGTTTTACTAATTAGCAAGAGGAGTCATGACAAGAATCATGAACTTTTCTATAAAATAGCATTTCTATTTTTAATAGCATGTCAGGTCATTAGAAACAGGCTGTATATTCATCACTCCGGCAGCAGAAAAATAATCAAAGTTCTATTACTTGCTGAAAATAAATACAATCATGGGCAATTTCACAACCAAAACTGATTCCCCAAATCAAAGCATTTGAAGAAGTTATGTATTTTTAGATTTGCTAATTATACCCAAGTCTTTCCCCTAAATCTGTTTTCGAATGAAGGTAACAATATTGTCAGTACAAAGATATTTTCTAACATTCATGACACTTTGTTCACCATTTATGTTAGTCTTTACTCATTTACTTGTTTATCTTCCCCTACAAAAATAGTACACATAAAGCCCAATGAGGAACAATGGATGTAGGATTTCATCAGGGCAAAATTTCACAGGCAGGGGATTGACTCTGACACAGATATCCAAAGGCCTAAGGGCCTACCTACTTATTATGTTATGTAAGATGTCAGAGGAGTCTAAGAGCTTTATACCAGTAGCTGGCACCTGTGCTTCAGTCTGTTTATTACTTAGTATTAATCTTGCTTAGAAGATTTAATGTGGTACCTTTCATGGGGCAGACATAGTAGGTGGGACCATGATGGGCTGAGAGGTGAGTAGGGAGGTTAGAAAAAGAATGAGGTTAAGATATTGTGCTAGAAAATTTATAGACCTCATCTAATTTAAGCCCTGCTTGAACTCTATGATGAATGTACTATTATTACTTCCCCAAGTCTCACATCTAGGAACCTGTCACATTTCTTTTAAGAGCTGAGATCTGAACCCAGCTCTGCTGTGTCCAAAGCCCACTGTACCATACATACTCATAAGGGCAATGGGGAATTAGATGTATGGTATTGAAACTGAGGAGCTTCTCTTTCTTTCTCATTGGAGAGGTCCAATTGTCTTCACTTATTTATGTATACATATATTTATTGTTTGAAGAGGTAATATATTCTCTCAGTACAAGATTTGAAAGCTATAAAAAGGTATAAGGTAAAAAGTAAATCTCCCTTTTTTTCTTGCTCCCAGATATCCAGTTACCCATCCTGAAGGCAACCCTTGATACCAGATGCTTGTATATCCTTCCAGAACGTTCATCTCTTCACTCATTTCTACCCAAGGCCAAATGTGATCATCCTGCCTGGCTGAGAAGCTTAGGTGGCAATATTTAAGATGGGATTAAGAAGGCCAACAATCGTGCTGGCACACACACACACAAAAAAGCCAAAATTAATCTTTAATGCTCATTCTGTTGCCTTTGGGTGATTCTTCTTTTCTCCATTCCCCTACTATCTTGCTTACTCTGACCTGTTCTTTCCTCTAAGGGAAAACCACCAGGTTCAGACAGCTCCTGTTCTGTTACATTCCTCAGGGCGCTGCTTGCTGTTCCTTCACAGGTTGTCTTGGCTGAGAAATTCATCCCCACCAAGGAATTCATGGGTATCTGTAAATTGATGAGCCGCGCTTTTCACAAAACATGTTTATATTTTAATGAGGGGCTTCAATCAAAAGAATGACTTGAATAATGAGGATTTCAGGTGCTTTATCATGAGAAGCCAACAGAATAGCAAGTTTTGTGTGTGTGTTATATTTTTTTCTCCCCCAAAAGGTATGACCTTGTGGTTCTTTCTATTTACTTCCTCTGAGGGTGTCAAGTCAACTTGGTATATGAAAACTTTGACCACCTGAAATTAGTTGACTCTTAGGGTAATAAGGACCATGATCTTGATTTATTTTTTTACTTACAGAATGTAGACACTTAGAGTTTTCAAAACAAAATCTCCAATGCTGTAGACATTTCTCCCCTATGACCTTAAATCTTATTTTAAAAAGAAACAACTATAACAATAAATAGGAGAATTATTCCGACTTTAATATTCACTAAATGCTATCTCATTCTGCCCTTTCCAAAATAATATTTAAAATACGAAGTTGGAGCAGATGGCTTCACAAATTAAACATTTTCCCCAATATGGGGGTTTGGGAGAGGCAGGTATCTCTACTGGGATTTATTAAAGAAATCTTCGTTTGTGAATATAATTCATTTTGATTTCCACAGGTAATTTTCTTCTGACACAATTAGGTACAACATCACAACTCAAGGGAGAGAAACAGTAGGGATCTTCATCAAAGTCATCTACATTAACAAAAAAGAGAACATTTTTAGCCATGACATTAAGGAATTTGCATAGAGTAGATGCACCATCATCTAACTGGAAGCACAGAACACAGTCATCACATCAACTTGAGTTCTTAAGTTCTTGCTCACTTTACCTTTCTCTTCATTTTAGGCCTTTAGACCAATCCATTCTCTATACTTTACCTCCCAACAACTATTTCCATCTCAACATATGCCTCTCTACCTAGAAATTTGGCTTCCTATGGAAGAAGGTAAGCATCTAAGAGTGTTGTGCAGCTCAGCAGGTATTCTTGGTATAGTGTAATGAGCACTATCCTGAGAGCCAGGAGACCTGAATTCTTGCCTCAGTTCTCTGCTGATGTGCTAAGTGACTGTCCATGAAGCATTTTTCTTTTCCTGCTTAAGTTTCCTCATCTGTAAAATGAGAGGATTGTACTAAACAAAGTCTAAGGTTCCTTCTGGTTTTAACAATCTGAGAAAATTGTTTTCAATTACCTAATTTTTTTGACTTTCAGTCTCTTCTTTCCTCTATTAGTCTAATAACCTACCAGATTTGTACATACTAAGTTCACTAGGTGCTTCTATACATACTTTCTGAGCCACGAATGAGCTCAGGTATGCATGTATTTATATATGTATGTATGTATGTATGTATGTATGTATGTATGTATGTATGTATATGTGCTTTTAATTTTGAGGAAGAAGTATTTCCTACAACCACCTATGTGGCCTCACATTAATGCAATATCTCTGGAATATAAGTGTAGACAACATATTTGTTTCTCTCACCATTTGGGGAGCTTATTTCTGAAGGCATGCCTTGCACAGAACCTAAAGATTTGAAAGTAGAACTAGTTGCAGTTGACTTGAGGGATGGCATCAACAATTTGTGCTTGAAGGTTTTCTTCAGCCTTTCTTGTTTATACCCAACATTTAGCCTACATCTGCTGCTCCCAACTGAAATGACACCAAAATATTAAAAACATAAAACTAATGAAATTGTACATTTCAGTTGGGTAAATTATACCTCAAAATCCTGTTTTAAAAGTATAAAATCCAATGTATAGAGTATTTGTTCTGGTACCTCAGGGAGACAGATTTTCTACAAAGTTGTAAGAAAGTTAAGTTTAAAGTGTAATGTGTTGTACAGGCAGAGCCAATTCACTTACCAAGGATGCTTGCTTTCCTTGGAGTCTGGCACAGGAACCAGCAGGTTTCTGACATGCCCAGCAAAAAGGAATGGAATCTCTGTGCTACTTATAGAATCTTTGAATTCAAGCACTGCCTTCCCTAAAGGAGCTTGGTATTGAGACTGAGTGAAGCTGCCTGAGTTGGATGGAAGAGCATTTTAATACACAGTAAGTCAGTTTGCCCAGACTGGAGATATTCCCAGAAGCAACATCAGAGTTCACTACATTTCCCACTGTGCAGGAAAGGTCATCAGCTCATCCAGGCAGACCAGTAGCCAGGCATCTTAGGGATGCTGACAAGTTCTCTCCACCTGTACCATCACTTCTTGCTTCCTGCATCTACTCAACCCACTTTTGGCTATGAGCCAGAAAGTCTCTGTAATGTAGTGCCTGGAACACAGTAGGCACTTAATCAATGTTCTTTTAATTGAATTGAGACTCAGGTGACCGCAAGGACAAGCAACCCAAGGAATCTGGGCCAAAAGGGAAGCTTCACTAAGTTAAAATATGACCCAAATCACATCCTTCACTTGACTTCATTCATCTCAGCACAAAAGTATAAATCATTTTCATGACATGGAAACAGCCTTCATTTTGATACTGATGTTATATGAACTGAAGCAAGGAGACAAGTTATTCTGATTAGTTTTATAAAACTTGTAAGCTTCAATACCTTACCCAAACTGGCATCTTACCAGAAAAGTTATCCATTCGCAACCACCTGCAATAGAAGTGTATCTGCCACTGTTCCCGCATACTCTCCTTCATCATGCAGTGGAACACAAAAATGAGGAATCCTATGCCAGGAGAAGAAGGTCAGTTTTTTCTAGCTTATTTCACTAGCTGTCACCAATGCCCAGACTCCAGTCTACTCTTGTCACCATAAATACTTCTTCTAAGGAACCCCAAATCATTATTGGCTTTCTGAGCTCATCTTTCTAATGTCCCTTCCAAAGGCAGTGAGGGCAAAAAGGTCTGTATCAAGACTTTATGTCAACCAGTTTTCCCCTAGGGCTGCTGTCCATCCGAGAGCTTGAGAGATCAGGCCTACAATGATAGCTAGCCTCTGAGATGGCTCACAATGATCTACATATTCTGGCATTCATATCCTTGTATAGTCTGTTCCCACACTGTACCAATAGTACATGGCAGAAGCGATGGCATGTCACTTCCGAGATTAGGTTATAAAAGACACTGTGGCGCTCTCTCTCTCTCTCTCTCTCTCTCTCTCTCTCTCTCTCTTTGCCTCTCATCACTCACTTTGAAGGAAGCCAAATTTAAGTCTTGAGAACACCCTGACAAGTCTGTGGAGAGGCCCACATGTGAGGAACTGAGGCTTTCAGTCTACAGGCATGTGGGCAAGCCTTCCCAGAAGCAGATTCTACAGAACTAGTCAAGTCTTTAAATGACTGTAGCCATGGCTGACAGATTGACTGCAACTTTACAAGAGTCCCTGGGCCAGAATCACCCAGCTAAGCTCCTGAATTCCTGACCCTCAGAAACTGTGTAAGATAATGAACATTTGTTGTTTTAGGTTGCTAAAATTTGGGAGTAATTTGTTACACAATAAATAACCAATGCACATGCTCTTTGGCACAGTTACACTGTATGGAAACAACAGATTTGGTGTCCTCATTTTCCACTGCCAGCACTGATTTTGTCCTACAAGTGGGATAGAGTTGCTGAAGGTATCTACCAGCAATATTGGCCATTTCTCATCCCACCCTCTAAAATATCTCCTTGGGAGATAAAAGTAGTACTCAAGATGATACTGATTACAATGCCCTTAAAGGCCAATTGGATTTCCTAAAGTTTGGAAGTGGAATGGGCAGAAATAACTCCTGTCAACAGCTTGACTTTTATTTATGGTCCATGCTAAAAATCTTTTTTATCCACAAAGCCTTTCTAGATGCCCCAAACTGAAACTCATCTTTCACACTTCTGAACTCCCATAGTGCCTCGTTCCTTGTAATATTTGCTATTTGGCCATATTATCTCCAGGAATTGTCCGTCTCTCCACTAACTGTAATGTCTTTGAGGGCTAAGGTATCTTTCCTTTTCATCTTTATATCACTTCTCCGTTTGCCTCTAGTACTATGGGTGGCAGTTCAATAGATATTTGTTGACTTGAACCCCAAGTCACTTGATGGGCAAACTCTCAGAGCCTTCTGAAACCTTACTAATACCTTCTTGGATCAAAATATATATATTTTTTGTCCCAAGCGTGGTTTGGAAACCTTTGTTTTCTATAAAAGGTTCAGCTTGCCTTCTCATTGGCCAGTTGTCCAGAAAGTAAATAATTAGTGATGGATAAAAGTGGTCTTAACTCATTGCAAGCCGAGCACAAGTCAATAGTAAATGTCCTCAAAGCTTATTTCAGCTAGGGCATTTGGGAATAAAGAATTTTGATTGAGGCCGGTGAGAGACTCCTGCCATCTAGCCTGGTTTACTCCTTCCTCTACTAGCACCATGCTCCATTTAGGAGGCTTTATTTTAAGAGGATGATGACAAATGGAAGTATTCAAGAATACTTTGAGGAAATAAAAATAGGGGTGGACTTGAGGAAATGGCGAAAGAGCTGGGGTGTTTTGTTTGGGTAAGAGAAAGCCTGGAGTGGGGAATATAGGGTGGGGAGAGATAGAAGTTATATTCACAGATCTAAAAGGGCTATCATGAAAAGGACAAATTAGGCTTGTTCTTTGTGGTGGACAGGTTTGAACTAAAAGCAATGAGAGGAAGCTTCAAAACAACCACGTAGTAACAAATCACAGCTAGTCTTTACTAAGCAATGACTAGACCATGTCTCATTTTTATAGGTGAGAGATATCAGAGTACAAGAAGTCTAGTAAACCTGACCCAGTCACAGAGTTAACATTGAGCTGGCAGTGTCTGGACTGAACACAGGCAGTCTAGCTGCAGAGCCCAAGGGCTTAACCACTGTAACATATTACCTTCAGGAAAGGATAACTTAGATAAGATTCAGAGCTGAGTAGAAGCTACAGTGGCAAACATATTACAATATGTAAATGTATTTAATCAACATGTGTACACCTTAAATTTACACAATGTTATATGTCAAATACATTTTAATTTTAAAAAAAGGAGAGAAGTTAAATGTTCTGCTCTATGGAATGGTGAGCTCTCTGTCTCTGGAAAGTTTCAGGTAGAGGCATGTGACTTCCTGTCACTTAATGGCAAATAGGATAGGGAAGCTCTTGGTTCCCTGGCCCCAGCCATGAGACTCTCTGATTCCAGGTGGGAGGCAGCAATCTGGAGGCTAAATGAAATGACAAGTCTCTCCTCCTCCCCCAAGGGCTTTGTCTCCATTTGTAACCAAACAATTGTGGTGATGAATCCAGCATCCTTTTCTGAGCAGCAGCCACCTGGATGGTGGTGCAGCAGCAACCTGATGAGAACAAACCCTAGTCTCAGAGCAGGTAAAACTCCTCTAGCTTCAGAACAAACAAGAGGCAACAGTGACAGCAAGCACCTATTACTGTTCTGATTTCCTGCATGGAGTTTAGTAATCTTCAGACTTAAAGGTTATTCTGTGAATTCCAATGAGCTGCCTGCCAGCTCTCCTCTGCCTGACAATCTTCCTTTTTCTTTCTAATAACAGATTGATCTGCTTACTCACCAGAGCATAGGCTTGAAGGAAGATGTCAGGTTTTTGTCACCTGCATTTTTATTTGGGAATCCTTCCTTCGGAAATGGTTCATCATAAGCATAATTTTTTTTTCACATCTGACCACAGGGCAAACCCCTTCAGCCAGAATTGCAAACTTGCCATCTGTCTTTTCAATGGCTAATTTGTTCACTTGCTTCACTGCGTTCTTCTTGTTTTGAATATTTGGAGTGTGTTAGACTTGAGTTTGAAACTCAGGGCTCTGAAAACACCCTTGCTTCAAATGGCACATTCTTATAGGCAGGACTAGGAACTGGTGCTTGACTGACAGAGACAGCTTGGCTCTGTTGATGTTGGATCTTTAGGACTTTGGTTTTAGTCCTCAGGAGATCCCCAATTGGATTTTGCTTCTACCCAAGTAGGCTTCCTGCCTAGATACTACTTTCTCTTCCACCATAGGAGTGGAGCACTTCCTACTTGAAAACACCCTCCCCAATTTAAGCTTTAAACTACTTTTCTTTCTGGTTCTTTTGTTAGCTTTTCATTTAACCCCTCTTTCCATAAGATGAGTACATTTTTCCTTTGAATGAAGGACACAGAGAGAGAAGCATGGAGTTATTGTTGAGGAAGAAATCTGCATAGACACCTGGTTCCTAATCCACTTCTGTGGACATTCTATACCAAGGCTGGTTAGTTCTTAAAGCATCATGATACCAAGACCAGGTTATCTCAGTGTAGGCTGGGTAGTTCTGTCACTCTAGAGGTAAAGTGTAGAATCATCACCAGAGCCTCAGTCAAAAATCAAGGATACTATCAAGTGCTGGTAGCCTCAAAGGGAACCAAGTGAGAGTTGGGTGGAGAGCTCACAAAAATTCTGTCCTTACTACCAGAAGGAATAAAAATGGCATGTGAAGGAAGAACAACACATTTTGTGTTTCTTCACAATTCAATCAGAATATAGCTATGTAAGGTTAATGTGATCTGGTGGGACAGAAGGTCTCAGGTGATATTTCATTGCTCCAAAAGGAAATGGTTTCTTTTATTTTTATTTCTTTTTAAAAAAATATTTTGGTATATTCTTTACAGAATTCCAATGGATAACTCAAGTTTTTCTTTTGTGTTTATAGCTATTCCTTGATATACTGCAGAAGCATTTTTTTAAATACCTATAGCACTTGGTCTTCCTAAGTGGTCTCTCATCCAAGTACTAACCAGGCCCGACCCTGCTTAGCTTCTGAGATCAGATGAGATCGGGCATGTTCAGGGTGGCATGGCCATAGACAGGAAATGGTTTCTTAAATTATAAAACATGATACCAAAAACTATGCCTTGGCTACTGCTGGAGAATCATCTACCCTTTGGTGCAGACAAAAAAAGCAAGTAGCAATTGGACAGGAAAAAAATGGCATTAAGCAGATTTCCAGCAAAAAGTGTTTTGGGGGTTTACAGAAGCTTTTTGAGCATTACAATGTTGAAGTAAATTGCAAAATGAAATTTACTATCTTACTTATGACTAAAGGCAGAAACTGGAAAATTCCCTGCATTATATTGGCTGTCTGGGTTAACTTACACAGAACACAATTTTATATCAAAATATGGTTATCATCAGGCTGCCCCAGAACATGGCCTTGTTGTCATTGCTCCAGATATCAGCCCTTGTGGTTGCAACAGTAAAGGAGGAGATGAGAGCTAGGACTTTGGCACTGTTGCTAGGTTTTATGTGGATGCCACTGAAGATCCTTGGAAGACTAACTACAGAATGTACTTACATAACAGAGGATCTTCCCCAACTCCTAAGTGCCAATTTTCCAGTAGACCCCCAAAGATATCTATTTTGGGCCACTCCATGTGAGCCATGGAGCTCTGATTTATGCTTTAAAGAATCCCGGAAAATACAAACCTGTTTCAGCATTTGCTTCAATTTGCAATCCAGCATTCTATCCTTGAGGCAAAAAGGCCTTTAGTGGATATTTGGGAACAGATCAAAGTAAATGGAAGGCTTATAATGTCACCCATCTTGGGAAGTCCTATCCAGGTTCCCAACTGGATATACTAATTGATCAAAGAAAAGATGACTAGTTTCTTTCAGATGGACAGTTACTACCTGATAACTTTATAGCTGCCTGCGCAGAAAAGAAAACCCCTGTCGTTTTTAGGTTACAAGAGTGTTATGATCATAGCTACCACTTCATTGCAACTTTTTATTACTGATCACATCAGACATCATGCAAAATACCTGAATGCATCGATTATTTTGGATAAGAGAATCTCTTCAGGCTTATAAAAATCTTAGTAAACAGAATTGCAGGGGAAAATATTTTAAAGCATTGTATATCATAATGCTAAAAATATTTCATTCTAGGGAATTGGACTCACCTTCTGAATAAATATATGAAACGTGAAAAAACTATGCCTCCTTCTAGATTGTTCCCCCATCTCCCTGTAGCACCTTGCAAATGCCTGGCATATAACTACATACCAATTCATATTTTCCAAGGTTCCTCAGGAGTTAACAACCATAATGATAAATTGTTCTAAAGTTTTTTAATACTGAGTTAAAACAAATTTTAAAGGTATTTTTTTCCAACAGAATCTCTCAGAGCTTTCACCATGCTAATATATAGTGTGCTATTTCAAGAATGGGGAAATGTAGTTTGCCACATTTCCCAAACTTCTTTGACAACAGAACCCTTTTTTTGCTGGAGAATCCTATGGGAACACCAATGGACTATGTCCTGGTAAAGGGGTTTATTGAATGAATAGTTAATAGTAGTAAGGACTGCTCAAGTCAACTTATAGCCTGCCCCAGTAGCCCAAGTCAACTTGGCCAAACTTGAGGATAAGAACATGGGGTAGAGTTTGAAACTCCCTGGAATCATTCTGTATGCCTCTTCATTCCAATATTTTAATAGGTAAAATCAGATTAAAATGAACATCAACAATTACTCAGAGGCATATTAACCAGACCCCTAGCTTTTACTTCTCATTTCATCTTTGGCCTACTACTTAATCACTTAATTATCATTTACTCCTTTCACCAGAAAATAGGAAGGAGATTAAAGAGCTATAGAGCCATTAGTTTAGGATTATCTAATTCAAGCATTTGTAGTGACTTTTTCAAAATTGATTTGTAGCAGACCAAGACTAGAAATTTGGCCTCTTGCCTTGGCATACTGCTCTTTGCTCTTCACCTTCATTCCTCTGTGACTCTACAATTTCCTAGCCTCGCTCCTTTCCACAATCTTAGGAAATCTGATGTAGCCATAGTCTATCGGGTCAAAAGTTTAATATTTCTACTTTCCAGTAATTGCAACTGGATTGTGCACTTCAAAATATCAACACAAGTGTGAATCCATACACTTTTGAGCATAAAGTATTGATTCAATACTGTAAGTATTGCCAATTAGTGTTTGATATAGACATTGCTAACTAGCTGGAGCTGGGTTAGCTATCTAGGCTTCTCTCTGCAACCCTGACCAAGAGAGACTGGGCTCATCTAATGAATCCTTAAGATCTAGCTAATGTTTCCAATGGCTTCTTGTCAACTCATTGACAGCTGAGACCTCTTAGAGTATCTTTCCCTCCTTTGAATCCCTTAAAAATTAGATTATTTACCAAAGAAGCAAAAGCTTTGGTGATGGTCTAGCTAGCCACAGAAAGTACAAAGAAGCAACAATTACCTTGTAAAGTGTTAAGTATGGCAAAAAGATACAAAAAAGGGATCTTCACAGGTCCTCAGGCAAAAAAGGCAAACCCCCAGGTGAAGCCAAGTAAGAACGTCAGGCTTATTGTGCCTTTGAGGCCATGGAGGATCATCTTCTGTCGAGTCTTTGGGATTTGAGATTTCATGGAATTCAGTTGAGCAAGAACAGTGCAGAACATGGAGAAATTCATGAGAAATATGAGGCAAAAATAAGCTACAACTGAGATGTAAAAGAGAGAATCATCTTTAATCCAACAACTGTAAGAGATAAAACAGAGAAGACCTTTGTGAGATACAGAAACATAAACTCACATTTTTCAGTAAGACTCTGAAGATCCACTAGTTGATTTCATTTCACTTGAGAACACCTAGAACTAGAGAGATGAGCCAACTTGACAGACCTCACTCATACTCACAGGAACAGAGCTAGGACTAGAATCTCAATCTCCTGAGCCCCAGTTCAGACTTCTTTTCATTGTCAAGTCAGAAATCCCAGAGGATATTTCTGCCCTACATGTGCAGAAACCTCTCAGTTCAAGTCCTTAGGAGGCTATTCTCTTCCTCAACAGCATAAAAACAAATTATGTATTTCCTCCCAAAGTGGCCTCATCACCTTACACCTAAGCTTTATTTGCAGGATAAATTTTGCTTTGTATGATAAATATCACAGCAAAATGACATCATCAATGACTGTTTTTTCTGGATGTTATATCAAACAATGATGAGATTATCAGAGTTAATGAAAATGCAACAAAAAGGACAGCTCTAGTTGTTCTGTTTTAAAATAGGATGTATATTTTAAACCTCCCACCATAGCTACAGGTTTGGATTACAGAACTCAACACTGGCCACTGGGGTGATTATTGGCTCTAACATTTCTATTAAAGAAGAAATATGTGGTGATTCATAAGAACAGATACTTAATCTAATAACATTTACAATTACTGGTAGTATTACCTCTGATTTTTCAATGTAAGCAAGCTTCATTAATTTAACTGTGTGTCAGCTTAGCTGAGACCTCTTTTCCAGAACCAAGAAAACCTCGTGTGGTCATATCATTCATGTTGGTGTAGATACTTTTATATATGTGTGAGTTTGTGTGTCTGTGTGTGAGTGTCTTAGGAGGCAGTGGGGAGAAAAAGACATTTAATCTCCCTAATTGAGTCTAGTACTTAGGGTTCCTTGAATATCATCTTCAGACTTAAAGGAGGCTATAGAAAACTTAAAAAGAGGCAGCACTATATGTTTGGATAGAAAAATCATCTCCAAGACATATTGTTAAGTACCAAAGAGTGTATATTTACCATTTGGATAACGAAGTGTGGAATTGAAGATCTATACAGATTTGATCATTGGTAATAAGAGCTGAATCAAGGGAGAGAAACTGGGTAACTGGGGGTTGGGAGTCAGGCTTACTTTTAATCCTCTACTCTGTTATACATTTGAATTTTGTACTATGTGCATTTATTACTTCTTCAAAATATAATTTAAAAAAAACTCTTAGAGCAGTCTACCTCTTACTAACCACTTCTCATATGAAAGGGCTGTTTTCAGGGGGCATGGAGTTGGTTTTGTTCTAGTTTTGCTTTTGCTTTTTGAAGAATAATAACTATTGGATAGATAATGAGAAACACTCTAAGTCACAAAACATGCAAGGAGGGAAGATGGAGGATGAGATGAAAAAGAAGGAGAAAAGGAGAGAAAGGAAGGATAACAAGGAATTATAATTAGCAAGCCTCTGCTGGAAAGGGCAATAGCATTTTGACCCTCTGGAAACTGTCATTTCAACATAAAAAATGGAGGAGTCTAGGGGGCAAGACTGCCTACATTTGATTCCAGTACAGTGAGAGAGGAAATCTATAGTGAAAAAGTATCCAAGAGGCAATACTAAAGAAAATGGGTATGGGTAAGTAAAAAAACAATCAGAAATGAGATTGTGTAGTCTAAAAAACTACATGGTAAAGATCTACAGGATTATAAAAGAAGTGGAGTAAGTAAATGGCTTGGCTCCTCTCTTGTGGCTGTGGATGAGAAAACCAAAGATATGGGCTAAATGCCTCAAAAAGAAAAAGAAGAAAAAGGAAAGAAAGAAGAGAAAAAGAAAAGAAAGAAAAAAGAAAATAAGAGAAAGAGAAGAAAGAAAAGAAAAGAAAGAAAGAGAGGGGAACAAGGGAACAAGGAAAAGAAAAGGAAAACAATAGGACAGCAAAGCCAATTTACAAAGAAAAATGGTGGAGTCTTCTTCAGGGAAGACCTTTGTTGTTGAAAAGTAGAAAATGTTCTCCAACCTGTCTCAGTGTTTCCTTGTAGTGGCCACTCCAGTTCCTTCCAAGTTCTGCAAGCTTTCTAATTATAATAGCTGCCAGTTACACAGCACTTACCATGGAATAGGCCACATGTTAAGCACTTTAGATACATAACGTCATTTTAATTTGTACGTAACATTGAGAGTAAACATTATTATTCCCATTTTCCAGAGCAGGAAATGGACATAAAAAAAATAAAGTAGGCTGCTCAAAGTCCCACAGAGCCTAGCACCTAACCATTATACAGGTGTGCCCATGACTATATTTAGGCCAGAAAGGCTAAGGTTGAGTCTTCCCTGAAGCCGGCATCAAGATCAAGCCCTAGGCCGGGAACACCCTACTATACCCTGATGGTCAAGAGCATCATCATCTGAGAAGCAGAGATGCTGGTACTTACAAAGGAGATGTGGAGCTCAGAGTTCCGTACAGATCTTTCTTCGTTCACACTGTGAACGACTGCCACCATAATTGCTGGGATTCCTAAAGTGGGTAAGCAAGCCAAAGGAATCCCATTAGGAAGCAGGATAAAGATCCTGATCAAGGACTCTGGGAGCCAATAAGGAAAACACTTTAAATGAGCCACAGATGTGCGGCCATCAAAATACCATTGTTTGCAAAATGTTTGTAAATTCTTTCAAGTTAAACATTTCTAGGAGTTCTTTAATTTGCTATACTAAATAGCATGCCAATGGCTCCAATACAACACCTGCTAGTTATTAAAAATAGCTCAAGCACCAAAAACCAACTTGGCAATAGAAGTATTTAGTTCATCAGAATACAAGTTTGCATCAAACCTTTTTTCTCAGAAGATGGACCACCAATATTTTTCTCTATTCAATACCGCCCCTTATTTTCTGGTATCTTTTCGTCTTGGTCACCTTGGACGAAGAGCACAAGCAATCAGCTGCAGCCTTCAGTGCTTTTTTTTGACAGGAGAGCTATTTCCACACTTGTTACTAGTCTGACATTTTGACTAAATCAACCAGTTAATGACCAGTCAATTCAGCTAGACTATAATAAAGCGATCAGTTCAAAGTGGTCAAACGTGACACAGGGTTTAAAAATCCAATTTCGTGCACATTTGCAAAACTTAAATTTTTTTTTTATTTCTAACAATGTATTTCTCCTAAACTAAGACCATTATTACACCTGCACAAATTTAGGGGTTTTGTAAAAACCTGTTCAAAATCCCAGAGTGCTGAGCCTCTTGAGAAAACCTCCACTATCCTATTCTGTGATAAACAGGATAATCTCTTTGGATCTGTATTTCAGTCGTGTAGCACAGTGCCTATCACAAAATAGATATGTGAAAAACTACCTGTTGGAGGACAGAAGGGAAGGATGGAGGGAGGCCTCACTTTTAGGATGCAAGTTGTAAGGCAGTCTCCAAGCTGTTCTTACACTTTGAGAATTAAAAAGAAAAATCCCTGCTGGTTATTTTTAAAATGTGGACAAATCTACTGCCTTGGACAAGAATTTAAATAAAGGAATAAAACCTTTATGACAGGTTGCTTTGGCATTAGGAAGACAGAACTTCAAACATAAACACATGCTAACATTAATTTTCCTTACAGCTGATTGCATTTGTCTAATATGTAAATGCTCCGAAACTCCCAGTAGTAGGATGGCTCTGCATTAGCTCCCTGGCAACCTTGCAAGTATCCACACAGGCAAAGTCTTGAACAACAGCTGATCTGAATTTTAGCGGAATGCTTTATGATCCTCTGCAAATTCAAGAAGATGGCAGGCATGTGAGGAGATGCTCCAAGGCCATCTCCTACTTGCCTCTCTGTCTACTCTGGGAAGCTGTCATGAGAGTTTTTCATTGCCTCCCAGGTTCCGAGGAGGTGTGGGGCTTTGTACCTTGCCCCATCAGGACAGAGCTGCAGAACATAAAACCGCATAGCTTCAGTTTAGAGCTGGCTCCTTGGTAACAAGGACTCCAATGACTCGTGTAGCAGCCATCTGTTCTCTTTTGTTTTGGTGTCATTCTTCATGGAGTGTGGGACAAGAACTTGGGAGCTGGCACCTTTAGCTACTCTTCCTTTTGCCCTCTATGTAAGCAATAAACTAAATCTGAAAGTGGCTCATTGTATCTATATTGGTCAAGCCAGTCAGGCCTTGGCCTTGGTTTGTATGGGTACTTGACACTCCCCAAGTATTTCCTGCCTCCGAAGTACCAAATCTTAGACTTTCCTGCCTCTTTGAGTACCCCAGGTAGTGGGTGTGGAATGAGATCAAAGAGATAAGAAGTGATCCCTGGGGAACACCATTTCAGGAGCAAATGAAGGAGGGTCTAAAAAGGAAGCTGAGAATGAATGATGATGAGGGAAGAAGAAGGCCAGAATTTACAGCTCCTTCTCAGCCATATGTGGGTTATTGGCTCTTTGGATTATTTGTGAAGCCTCTTCCAGAACATTTTTCAATATTCTGGTTGCCTGAAGATGAAGGATGCCAGGCATAAAGGGTAGAGTGTTGACTGGCTTTTGGCTTTGGATTCCAAAATGTACTAAAATTATATATATACATATATATATGTATATATATATATACACACACACATATATATGTGTATATATATATATACGCACACACATATATATGTGTATATATATACATACACACATACATACATATATGTGTATATATATATATTTTTTTAATTACAGTTGGCTTGTGATATATTATTTTCAGGTGTACAACATAGTGATTAGACATTTATGTAACTTACAAAGTAAGCACACCAATAAATCTAGTATCCATCTGACACCACACATATTACAATATTATTGACTATATTCCTTATGCTGTACATTACATCCCCATAACTATTTTGTAACCAACAAATTGTACTTCTTAATTCCTTCCCTTTTTTCACCCATATCCCTAATCTCCCTCCCACCTGGCAACCATCAAAATGTTCTCTGTATCTATGACTTTGTTCTTTAGATTCCACATGTAAGTGAAGTCATATGACATCCATCTTTCTCTTACTCCACTCAGCACAATACCCTCTAGGTCCATCCATGTTGTTGCAGGTAGCAAGATTTCATTCTTTTTTATGGCTGAGAAATATTCCATTGTATACATGTACCATCTCTTTATTTATTCATCCATTAATGGACACCCAGGTTGCCTCCATATCTTGACTATCGTAAATAATACTGCAATGAACATACGTATTCACATGGCCTTTTGAAGTAGTGTTTTGAGTTTCTTCAGATAAATAGCCAGAGGTAGGTTTACTGGATTCTTCTTTGTCTCTTGTTATAGCCTTTGTTTTAAAGTCTATTTTGTCTGGTATAAGTATTGCTACTCCAGCTTTTTTGTTTGTTTGTTTAATTACATTTTTATGAAACATCTTTTTCCATCCCTTTACTTTCAGTCTGTGTATGTCTTTTGATCTGATGTGAGCCTTTTGCAGACAGCATATGTAAGGGTCTTATTTTCTTATCCATTCAGCCACTCTATCTTTTGATTGGAGCATCTAATCCATTTAAATTCAAAGTAATTGTTGACAGATGTACACTTATTGCCATTTTATTTTTTATATTTTTCATCTTTTTCCTTTTTTCTTTTTCTTAAAAAAGTTCCTCCAACATTTTCTATAATACTGGCTTGGTGGCGATGAACTCCTTTAGCTTTTTCTTGTCTAGGAAGCTCTTTTTCCTTTGATTCTAAATTATAGTTTTGCTGGGTAAAGTAATCTTGTTTGTAGGTTGTTGCTTTTCATCCCTTTTGGCCTGCAAACCTTTTGTTGAGAAATCAGCTGACAGACTTATGGGATCTCCCTTGTAGATAACTAACTGCTTTTCTCTCAATGATTCTTGAGATTCTCTTTAACCTTTGGCATTTTAAATATAATGTATGTTGGTGTGGGCCTCTTTGGCTTCATCTTGCTTGGATCTTTCTGAGCTTCCTAGGCTTGCACATTTATTTCCTTCACCAGGTTGGGGGAGTTTTCCATCATTATTTCTTCAAATAGGTTTTTAATTCTTGCTCTTTTTTCTCCTGGTATCCTTATGATGTGAATGTTAGTATGCCTGATGTTGTCCCAGAGGCCCCTTAAACTATCCTCATTTTTTGGATTTTTTTCCTTGTTACTGTTCTGATTGGGTGTCCTTCACTACCCCACACTCTAAATCACTGATTCAATCCTTCACTTCATCCACTCTTTTGATTCCCTCTATTGTACTCTTCATCTCAGATATTATATTCTTATAACCATTTCTGACTGGTTCTTTTTTATGTTTTCTATCTCCATTTTTATGTTTTCTATTTCTTTGTTAAAGTTCTCACTGAGTTCATCTACTCTTCCCCTAAGCTCATTGAGCATCCTTATAACCAGCGTTTTGAACTCTTCATCTGGTAGGTCGCTTGTCTCCATTTTGTTGAGTTCTTTTTCTGGAGTTTTGTTCTATTCTTTCACTTGGGACTTGTTTCTTTGTCTCCCCATTTTGGCAGCCTCTCTATGTTTGTTTCTATGTATTAAGTAGAGCTGTTAGGTCTCCCTGTCTGAGTAGAGTGGCCTTATGTAGTAGGTGTCCTGTGGGGCTCAGTGGTGCAGTCTCTCTGGTCACCTGAACCAGTGCTCCAGGTATGTCCTTTGTATGGGTTATATGTTCCCTTCTGTTGTAATTAAGCCCTGTTTGCTATTTGCATATCAATAGAGGAATTGATCCTCAGGCTGATTGGTTATAAGGACTTGCCGGTGACCACAATGGGGGAGCTGTTGTGCAGGAGCTGACCCTATGGAACAGAATTTGCTTTAGCTTGGCTCTGGTGCCTTCTCAACCCAGCCTTTGAGTGTGTCATTCTTGGATGTGGCCCTGGATAGTACTCCAGCTCAGACAGAAACCAGCCATTAGACATGCAGGCTGGTGCCTCCTGGGAGGCGCCCAACTGCAAGCCAAGATCAGCCTCAGTCTGTACCCTTCTCAGAGCTACCTGGCATGAGCCACCAAGCAGTTTGCAGGTGGCCATCACCCACGATGGGCTTGAATGTACCTCGAGAGGCCAAGTCACAAACTGAGGCCGGCTGCTGCTACTGACTGGCTTGGGGCTGCTCAGCAACAGGTATGAGGCTTGCCAAGGCCAGATGTTACTTGTTTGGGTTTTGTGAACCTCTAAGAGATTTAAGGAAAGTCCACAGCATGAGCCAAGACAGGCCATTTGTATGAAAAAGCCACTGGAAATGGCTTGGGTGGGCCCACAAGTTGGGAGGGGTGGGGTCTTAGGGAATCACCAGGGCAGGGTGACCAGTGTTAGCCAGGCTGATGGAGACTCAGATATGGCAGCCGCATATATTTGCATGCTGGGAGGTGGGAGGGATCAACAAAGGAAGAGTAGCCTCCATCAGTACTTCTGTATGGGAGAAAGCTGCCCTTTCATCCCTTGCCCTGAAGCCAGACAACTCAGTTCCTCCCCATATGTTCCTGGCACTTTTTGAGCTGCTGCCCCAGCGCTGGAGCTCAGAGCGAGTTTATCAGTGGGTAAGTCCATGCAGTGGCCCTTTAAGAGAAGAGGCTGGGACTTCTGCAGTCCTCTGTTTAACTCAGCCACAATTTTTGCTGGTTTTCACAACCAAATGTGAAATCCTGGTCTGGGGAGTCTGGGTAGGGCTGGGACCCCTCACTCCTCCAGGGGGAACGCCACAGCTGAGATACCCCTCCTGATTTTTAACCACTACACATGAGTGTGACACCAGCCTGTTATGCATCTCCACCCCTCATACCAGTCTCAAAGTAGTTTCTTCTGTATATCCTTAGTTGTAGGACTTCTATTCAGCTAGACTTTAGGTGACTCCCAAAGATGCTATTCTGTAATTTAGTTGTAATTTTGATGTGGTCATGAGAGGAGGCCAGCACAGCATCTACCCACTCCGCCATCTTGACTGGAATCTCCAAAACAATTTTTTGATCATGCTTTGTTTAGTATTTGCCTGTCTCTGGTCCACACATTAGCATAGACAATGGCACTGACTGTGGATCCAACAAAAGTTTGCACTATGTTATTGAACTCATTAAATGAATGAGTAGCTAATTGGGAAGTGATTGTCTTTAGAAAGGCAATGGAAGATAAGATCTGTCTTCATTTGTATCCTATACATCTCACTTAATATACTTCTCCTATGTGTCCAACACATTTTCTGAACCCCAAATCTGTTTTGAATAGGTGAAGGAGGGAAGGGTGTGGGGAAAGGAGCTGAGCTGACTATGTCAGTTAGAAATGCATGAAAGCAAACCAATAAAATTACATTTAATTTAGGAAACATTCATGCTGAATTCTATTCCTGGCTTCTTTCAGAGGGCAGCAGTGATAGTGACAGTCATGAGGTGTGTTGAAATTCAGAGCATGTTTGACTGAGCACCATTTCACATATTGCTAGTCCTTTCCCTGTCCCTTAAGCAATATGGTTAGATCATTGAAGTTAAAAGTCCAAACTATGGAGACAGACTCCCTGGTTCAAATCCCAGTTCTGCCACTTACTCGTTGTGCGAGTTTTGGCAAATTACCTAATCTCTCTGTGGCTCAGTATTCTCATCTATTAAAAATGGAAATAATGATGGGACCTTTCCTATAGAGATATAGTGAAAATTAAATGATTATGTAAACCTCTTAGAACAGTTTCTGGTGCATGTAAGTTCTACCTAAGTGCTAGCTGTTGTATCAGTAAACATTTGTTGGGACTGTAATTTCCATAAAGGGAAGGATAAGATCTGACAGCCCACTACTGTAGATCCAGCATTTAGCACAGTATATAGGCAGGTGCTCACTAAATATCTGTGGACTAATTCCTTACCATGGAGGTTAAAAGTTGAATTTCTAGAGCAATAAAGGCAGAAAAAGAGATATATACCCAAATATCAGTGAGACAATCCTTAATTCCTTACTTATGATAACAGATTTGGTCCTGAATAATTTGTCTAATGGAATTAGAAAGACACAGGCTTAAAACATCGAAGACATCAAGGACATCAAGGACAATGGCAGATATACTTACCCCAACCAACTAGGCAAAATTTAAGGATATAATTGGGAATGTATATATTGAAGACTTTGACTAGAGCAAAATACATGTGTACTGCCTCTAGATCCATCCATGCCAAAGAAACAAGCAGAAAGTCATGAAGTGCCACTGCTGCTGCGATACAAAGTCCCACTTCCTGGAATGATGACAACCAAGAATTGACCAGAAATACCAGGTTTAGCATTAGCAGTGCTGTGCACAAGTTGATCAGGATTTTGGAAGGATGATCTTTTTGAAGTTTACTGAAAGAAAAGGCTCAATGTTTAATTAGGCAAGGTCTCTGTTTTTAATCAAGCCTTGCCACATCTTATTTGCACAATAAGTGAAAGAAATGCCTATTATAATTAAGTTACTCATATCACCTTACATGTACTGAACTTTAGAGTTTCCCCCACCCCTCTTTTCAGGAAGAGTCAAAGTAGCCTAAATATAGTAACCTTCAATAACAGGATTAATAGTAGCCATTCTCAGCTAAGCAGTCCCCTTTTTTCTTTTTCTTTTTGGGAAAGAAGGAAGGAAGGAGAATCCTGGATATGCCATTCTATTATCACTCCTTCAGCAGACTCAAGGCTGGATCTACATATGTCCAAATAGCAGGATGACTATGGAAACCATTTCAAGTAGTTACTTGGATATTTCCAAAGATCCAGAGATTTGGCATCGTGTAAATATGATCTTAAATTTCACTAAGCGATCTCAATTGTACTTTGTGAAAATTGACTCAGTATTTTCCAAATTAGAAAAAAAATATGTACTTCCTTTTGATTCTTTTTTTATTTCTATTAAATATTTATTAATTTAAATTTCGCAATTTTCATTTTGTGTGTATGTGGGGTTTTTTTTTAACTGAGATAAATAGTAAAGTACACAAATCTTAAGAACACAACTCAACGAATCTTTACATACGGATATACCTAAGGAACCTCCACCCAGATTAGGAGGTAAAAATGTTTTCAATTTTTCAGAGGTTCTTCCTTTCTTCTCCCATTAATACCCCCCACTAGAGGTAACCAATATTCTAACTTCTATCTCCATAGATTTACTTTCCTCTGTATTTGGAACTTCATATAAATAGAACCATACAGTATGCTCTATTCTCTTTCTGGTTTCCTTTGCTCAGCTTTATGTCTATGAGAATTAGATATTATGTTGTATTGTATAGAAATAGTTCCTTCTTTTTTTACCTCTGTGAAGCAGTCCATTTCATGAATATACCACAATTTATTCATCCAGTCACCCGTTAATATACATTGAGGTTGTTTCCAATTTTGGGGCACTATGAATGCAGCTGTTGTGAATACTCTTGTACATATATTTTAGTGGACACATACACTCATTTCTCTCTAATAGCAAAAATTCTGATCGACATCTACATGTATATTTATTGTTAGTAGGTATCAGCAAAGAATTTTCCAAGGTATGCTTTTTGCATTCCTACCAGCAATGTAGAGTAGTTTCAATTGTTCCACACTCACTAATTTCAACATTTTTAATTTTAGCTATTCTAGTGGGTACAGAGAAGTATAATCGTGGTTTTAATTAGCATTTCTCAAATGAGTAATGACATCAAGAATGTTGTTATATGCTTATTACCCATTTGGGTAAGGATTAGAGTTAGGCATAGATATCCTCTTTTGTGAGGTGTCTGTTCAAGTCTTTTGCTCATTTTTAAATTGTATTATATGTCTTTTGCTTTTCGATTTGTACAAATTTCTACACATTCCACATTCTTTTGTCAGATATATGCATTGTGAATATCTTCTCCCAATCTGTGGTTTGCTTTTTCACTATCTTAATGATGTCTTTTGATGAAAGTTCTTAATTTTAATGATGTCCAAGTTTTCATTTTTTTATGTTTAGTGTTTTCGTATCCCACTAGAGAAATCTTTTCCTATCCCAACCCTCTTGCTTTTAAAAAATCCAATTATAATCTTTGTTTTAGAGGAGCCTTGGTTGTTGTCTTTTTTAACTTGCCCACTTCATCATCTAGTGAATCTGACCTCTTCCTATTGTGATGAATCGAAACCTCTTACGAAATTAACATGAAATTAATAGGGACGTAATGACCACAACATCCATCGAACCAAGTTAAATTTATTCAGAGCAAGACTCTATCAACTTACTGAAAAACTATGTATGTCACTGTAGCAACTCCCAGAAAAATGGAGGAGATTCCACACCCAGTGTATGTTATAAGCACTGATATCCATTCATTCACTGCATCCACTGCAGACCTAGATAGATCCTAGGGAAAACAATGTGTTGTGTTTTATATATTTGCCAGAGCAAGTTTATGGTAAAACATTTCCAGTGCTCACTAACGGGAGATTCCCAGGATGAAAAAAGTTCTTAATTTTAATGATGTCCAATTTATCAACTTTTTCTTTTATGTTTAGTGTTTTTGTATCCTATTAGAGAAATCTTTTCTTATCCTAACCTTCTTGCTTTTTAAAAAATCCAATTATAATGTTTTAGTGGACATATGCACTCATTTCTATCTAATAGTGAAAATTCTGGTCAACATCTAGATGTATATTTATTGTTAGTAGGTATTGGCAAAGACTTTTCCAAAGTGTGCTATTTTTGCATTCCTACCAGCAATGTATAGTAGTTCTAGTTGTTCCACACTCACTAATTTCAACATTTTTAATTTTAGCCATTCTGGTGGGTGCAGAGAAGAACTGCTATGGCTCTTATTAAACCAGCATATGTGGATGGATATATGATAAAACTGCATATTGTTTGCTGAGTAAGCTTAGTGCAATTTACTGTGTACAAGGCATGGAGAACCATCAATGGCACTGGAATAACATTTAGTACTTGGTTTTACTGTCATTAACATGTTCCACATGTAAAATATAACTAAACTAATAGATGTGAATTGGGGATGCAACCTGAATCATTATCTTAACTGAGTACCCCAAAACACTACATAATACCAAAAACCTGAAATAAGTGTCATAAAATTAAGACATAAAATGGATCTTGGAGATTATTTAGTCCAGTAATTTCTTAACCTGAGGTCTGGGAGAAAGGTCCATAGCTTTCATTAGATGATTATAGAGATTCATGACTCATAAAAGGTTAAGAAGCACTGGCCTACTCAGGTAGTTCTCAACTGGGATTGATTTTTCCCACCCCCCAGGGACGTCTAGCAATGCCTAGGGACATTTTTGGTTGTCACAGCTGGGGAGGGTGCTACTGGCATATAGTGGGTGGGGGCTGGAGATGCTGCTAAACATCCTACAATACACAGAACAGTGCCCCCAACAACAAAGAATTATTTGGCCCAGAATGGCAATAGTGCTAAGGTTAAGAAACTCTAGTATACTCCAATATTTCACATTTCAGAAGACAAATTTAAGGTCCATACAAGGGAAACAACCTTTTCAAGATCACATAGGTAGTTAGCGACAGAGCTAGAATCTGAATCTCAGTCTTTTGACTCCTAATATAATGTTCTAACCAATTTGGAGGGAGCTAAAGAAAATTCTTACAATTCAATAAATATCAGTGTAGCACCTCTTATTTGTTAAATAGATATGATTTTAAAAAAAGAAGGAAAGAAAAGAAATATAAAACAGACTTTCAACCCTCAAAGAGCAACTCATACATGACACATTTAGATAACAGTATGTAATATATAATAAAGTCACTTAAGAGAACTCAAAAAGTACTCAGAGATGGGTAGAGAAGAAAGAACACATTTAAGAGCCATTTCAAAGGAAAACCCAGCAAATCTGAATGTTAGGGAGGACCATAGGTAATGAAGAAGATTAGAAAAGTTAACCATGACTCTGAAACTCTAAGCCTGGATATGTGAATTGACCAGATAACTCTTAGTTTGGTTAACTAATGCAAGTATTTTTTTAAAATACATTTTTCCTACACTACAATTTGACAATAACTATTAAAATTAAAAATGTTTAATGACTATATCCTTTAACTCAGCATTTATACTTCCATCAATTTATCCTACAGAAATAGTTACACCAGTGTTAGAAGATAAATGAAATGTGTATTACAGCATTGTTTATAAGGGAGAAAACAATAACAAGTAAAATGCCTACCTATAGGGGATGGTTAAATTCATTGCATTAAATCCATACAATGGAATACTATAAAGATATTAAAAAACTGAAGCAGATGAATATGTATTTGCCTGAAAGTTGCCTAATATTTACTTTTAGGTAAAAAACAAGTGGTAAGAACAGTATTAATAATTTGACCCCATTTTTCTAAAACAAAAACAAATATTAATACACACATAGGATGGGGGCTGTAGGAACCTTTTCTGTAATGTTTGAATTTTGAGGTACAGGCATTAATTTTATAAGGAAAAAAATAAGTATTTGTTTCAATCTGCTCCACTTTGGATAAACACAAGGAGAGCTTTTTTCCATTTGCGTGCAACTTTTCCACAACTTAGTTTACACATATATTCCTGGCCTATAATCTAATAAAAGTTGTCAAAATTCTATCAAGGAATGATTAAGAGACAACTCACCATTAAGACTCTGAAATGGGTGAGGTAGTCACAGTGACAGATTGTGTAATTTATATCGGTTTCCTTTACTTTACAGCCTGATGAATTCCATCCACCTCGCCCATCTGCAGGAGACAGAAGGAAATTTCAAAACAATTTGTTTTTCTCTGAAATATTTAACTTTTCATTATATACACCTTCCAAACGTGTCTTATAATTAGTATTGTTTGTTAAGACAGCAAGATAGAGGTATAATTGAACAGTGAAATTAAATTAAATCTAGTGGGCTAAATTGATTTTGTGAGGACTTTATAAATGTCATAACTTCTTGGCTCTCACTTTTCCTGTTCTTGTACAAATTATGACAGACTCTAATCATGAGCAACAGTCCTGCCACCATGTTGGAGTGACAAAGTAAGGACAGCTTTTTTTTAAGTAGCACAAATAGGAAACAGATAGATCTAGAACATTTTGAAGGACATGAGCTATGGAACATAGGCTGACACTTGGGTCTACTCTGTGAGGCTGGAATAAACACCTGAAACAACCAGTTCAAACCAGAATTTAAATGGTCTCAAGTGCTTTGCACTCAAGCCAGATCATGGTCTAGAGCTCCTTAGGGCTAATGAAAGCCTCTAGTCTCCTTGACACCTCCCTAGTTTCTCACTTCTGAGCATATTCAGGGTTCTAGAACCAACCCTCAAATCTCCATAACCTGTAGATCTTGGATATTAGACTAGACTTAGAGTAGAACCTCCAGGATAGCACTGACCGGAGAAGTTATCCTTGGTCAGACAGCTAAGTATGGTCAAATTAGTCCATTCAGAATAATTCCATTGATTCTAGAGATTCTGGATCCATAGACAGAGGGCTGGGGGCAAAGGGTGACCTGAGAGGAGCCCAGGAACTGGCATTAATGAACACACAGATCGACTTTTTGAGGCTGTGAGGGGAAATGCTCATCACCTTACAGGACTCTTATCCAGGGAGGCTGGGAAGGGACCAGGAAAGAACAGTTCTATCTCTATTATAGAAAAGGAGTAGATTTCTACGTCTTAAGGAGTCAAATGGGAAGAGACTTTCCCTTTCCCCCCCAGAATTCCTAGGATACTGAAAAAGGACAAGTTTCCAGGCAGACCTTCCACAAGTAGAAAGAGTGGTCACATAGCAACTCCTGGCATTCCAGAGGAAATTGATTCTGTATGGGAATTCTCTGAGATTTGGCAATATCCCTGGATATGCCAGTGGAAATGGCAAGCCCATTCAGCAATCTCATCCCCAAACCCTTCTCTTACTGTTCCCAGAGACTCATACCTAGCCAAGTAGAAAGGGCCTTTAGAGACCAACCAGAAAGTCTTATCCTCTCAATGAAAAGATAAAAATATCGGGGCCCCAAGAGAGTAAATGGACTACCCCAGGACATACAGTCAGGCTAGAGGAGATGAGGTAAAAAGGGAACGTGCTAGTAGATGTTGCAAATCTCCGTGGGGAACCACAAATAAAAAAAGCCAGATGTTTATTCCTCAACTTTCTTCAAACAGCTTGAGGCTACTCTATACTGGCTCTTCCAAATTTCTTCCAACTTTCTTCCAACTTCGCTTATCCTTGAGTTGTGTGATTTTTTTAATCTCCCAAATAAGTCTCTTATTTAGGAGTTTTTTTAAACTTCCATGCCCTAATTAGTTATAAAACTCATATGTGTGTCTTGGTCAATCAGTACAACTCCTCCCCTCAACTGCCAAATAGGAAAATGGTCAGGGGCAAAGTCTCATTGAGAGCCAAAGACAAGGCTTGCTAAGAAAAATGCTTACTGTTATTCCCAAAGTCCCAAAAGGCACACTGAACTTGATCATAATTCTAGAAAAAAATAAAAGTCAAAAGTAAACACCTTTCCTTTTGATAGTTACCACACAATGACAACTACACACAAGTTATTTTCTCAACATTATTTTATGCAGTAGACACACACACACACACACACACACACACACACAAACCATTTGGTTTTAAGACTAATCTGAAGTAACTTGAGATTTCTAAGTGAGAAAACAACATGTTACTGCCTAGTGATGTGATGTGTGTCCTTTAAAATATTTGGCAACAAGAATTTTCAACGCCCTCCTGATGCAAGGCCCAGGTGGAGGCTGTAAATGGTTGGTGCAGGTCGGATGTGTGGTAAGTTCCTGTGGAACTTTGGAATTTGGGGCTCACAGCTGAAATCAAGCCTTATAGATACAAGGTTGAGCTTCCTCCTTATTAGGCCTAATGAGCATTCCTGAGGCCTCACCAGCCCCTACAATCTCCAGGACTGGAGACAAGAGAAATCGATTATTGGGGGATGCTTGGAAAGCTGTGGCCCCAGCTGGAATTGAGATATCTTACCCATCTAATGTGTTTCATTTGGTGTGTGTTTTTAAAAATTCTCTCTTGTGCTCTTCCTTCTTCTCTTCTAGAATTAAGACCTATGAAAATATGCTGTACAATATGGTCTTTTAGATTGGGAATGAAGGAAGAAGCTATTAAGACTTCACACTGGACATACATTAACATCGAAGAGTGTAATACTAGTTCTTTCTTATACTATGGCTAAATCTGATCACTTAGTAATATCTACCTTATGTTATGCCATATGACTATGATTTTAAAACTTTGGTGATAATTAATACATATTTTAATGCTCTTCATGGAAATTCAAAGGATAAAGATGTTCAATTATTTTTAATTTTTTTCCTCACTCAAAATTAAATGGAATTAAATACCATTTAGTGTCACAGGACAACCAAAAGATCCACTTGCCCCGAGTTACTCCTCTGCCAATCTGTCACAGAGTTAGAAGACCATCATTAGTTATCCCTTTAGGCCAAGGCATTGTTTCTAGAAGACCCCAATACAATACATCTCAGCTACATGGAAAGTGATGATCTTAATTAAGTCTTAGATCACATCTGTTAAGTAGTCAATTATTTTTAATGGGAAAATCATAGAGGGTTTCTGAGATGCAAAGGAATATGTTACCTGATTTCCTTCAATGTGCTGCAGAGTAATAACCACTGGGTCAGCCAAGTTTTGAATGGATGTATCTGAAATGCTGGCACTCACAATATATGTGGTTAATGCCTTAATGACATTTTTGCTCTATAGATGAAGCACAAGGAAGAGGAGTTTAGATTCTAAGTTTCTAAATTTTTGCACATTAATAATCAACCTAGACTTTTGAAGTATTACACAGCGTGAGGTACAGAAATATGGAAAATAAAATCACAAGCTAAGAAGGAATTTTTAGAGGTCACTGAGCTCATCTCCTGTCTTTACATAAAGTCTCAACTATACCAAGCTTAGAACAATTTATTAATCTGTCCACACATCCAAATATTATCCAATAAGCATTGGTTTTGTGCCTGCTACTCAGTACTGCACTGGCAACAAAATGAAACTATTCCCTACTTTGATAACTCTCTGGACCCTGACATGTCCCAACTTATTCCAGTTCTAATCCTCAACTATCTTTACTTTTAGGGAGCCCTTCCTTATAAGGAACACAAATCCATCATAAATTAGTTACAAGCCACTTCCTGTTCCATCCTCACTGGAGATGGAAGCAGGTTGATCAACATCCAGCATGGAACAAGTCTCTGAGGACATTCTTTTCCACCCTAGGGGACCATGAATTCTGAGGCCAGAGCATAGGTGTTGTGTGTCCTACTGTCCCCCACATGGCCTAGGACACAACGAATATTTTATCTTGTACCCTCAGCGAGTCAGTTACTTTGTTAAGTGCTTTCCACATACATTATCTTCAGTGCTCACTGAAATAATATAAGCATTTTTTAGTTAAACTGGGGCTTGGGGAGGCTCAAAATCTTGGGCAAAGCAGGTATACTTAACAAATGTTGGTTTAAAAGAAACAAGCTAGAATGTAGACATTGAAGTGTGGAGCTTGCTAATTAACAGAGCCAAAGTGCCACATACCAAAGCTCCAGAAGGCAAGGTACCTGGAGACTGCCTCTTTTGAGGCACATGTGAAGAGATGAGAGATAGGGCAGGTGCAAGACAGGAGAGAGAGGGAGCAAATCCTCTGAGGACTTGCCAAGAAAGCTTAGAAGAGGTGAGCCCAAATGATGTCCCTTGGGAAGCCTACTGAGTCACTTTTAGAAGATACCAAGCCCTAATATTTCTGAGCCCTGAAGCCCTGAGAACTGGCTAATTGTGAACGCAGCTTGGGTCTCCACTAGGAAGCTGCTCACTTCCTGTTCCTGACCAGTTCTGTTCTTCTAAAGCCAGCCTAATGGTTTAGGGCTCCTTTCTCAGAGGAATAACCCTGGGATATCCTGATGTGAAGATGGATATTGTGGAAAGGGCCTTGGCTGAGAGTCAAAAGACCAAATATGAGCCCAAGCCTTTCTGTTCCTTGAAAGTCCCTTTCCCTTTCTGGAACGTTGATGATATGAAGGAAGGTGGACCAGATGGTGTCTAACAACCTTCTCAACTTAGTCTAAGAGATACAAATTTCTGTAGTAAAAAGGCCAAAGGAGGAGAAACACAGTGACTCAGGACTTAACCTGTTCTCTGGTTTTATTTATTTCTCTTACATACAAAATTGTGGCCGTTCAGGGGAAAGAAAAAGAAATTTTTCCTAACTCTCCACCCTCGGCACTCTAGGCTTAAGTTTTACCTATTTTACTTCTGAACCTTTACAGAAGCTATTCTCTCTGCCTGAAACACTACTCCCTCCTCCTCATCGTCTTTCATCTTCTAGCTCCTACACAACCTTAGGCCTCAGCTGACATCTCTCTTAGACTAGGTATTCCCTGATGTCCCAGATGAGGGGTAGGTGCTGTCCTTTATACTCCCAGAGCCTCTGTGCCATATCGTACATGCCTGGTGCTTTGTCCCTCTCCTCAAAAACTGCCACTAGTTAGGGAGTGGAGGAGGAGGTACATGTCTTCCAAGAGTAGTGTCTTATCAACGATTTTTATGGTAATGTGTTATAATGACAGTTAAAATTTTGATCAAATGATATAAAGGAAGCAGGATGAAAGTAACACTGTGAGACTCAGTTCTCATGGGGAAAAGGTAGTTAAATGGTGGCATCTCTTGTAAATACTTTTCAACAACTAGTGGCACAGGTCCCACTCTCGGGTCACTCCCTTCAATGTTGGAAACTTTAGGTTTCTGTTCTCACCCATCAGACTGTAAGTTCCATGAAGGCAGGCACCACATCTCTCTTGCTTACCATTGTATCTCCAGCACCATGCAAGACACATAGTATGAACTCAATAAATATTTGCTGACTCATAGAATATATAGTCAATAATATTGTAATAACTATGTTCATTTAAAGCTAGATGGGTACTAGACTAATTGAGGAGATCACTTCATAAATTATATAAATGTTTAACTACTAAGCTGTATACCTGAAACTAATATAAGATAATATTGAATGACAAATGTAATCGAAAATAAATAAAAAACAAAATGTTTGCCGACTGAATAAATAACTGCACGAATAAGTGAATAAATTGTGTCACCACCATCAGGTCCTTTGCTCTCTCTGGGTTTCAGTTTTCTCATTGGTATAATGAGGAGATGGAACACTATAGGTTATAAGGGCCCTTCCAGCTCTGAATTTAATGACACGTTAATTCCATTCCTTCTTCATAAGGCACTATGACGTCTGTAGCCTAATTCTGGCAAAGAATCTTAATCTCTTTCAGTGGAAAATGTTCATGAATAAAAATCACTTATTAGGTGTGAAACCTATGCAAAACAAGTTTATCTTTTATTCTATGAGACAAAGAGAAAGAAAAAATTATCAAAATAATGTCATCTCAGATGATACTGAGAAATTAGAAGCCTACCCAAATGGTCAGAGTGCTATGAATCACATTCTTAATTATTATTAGAATTTTATTCATTAACTAGCTTGTTCTGAGTCCAGTCTAATTTTTTTCCATTAAAAAAGGTCTAATAAATATATAACTACTGAAAACATGTTGGGTACCTAGCCCTGTGCTGGGTGCCATGAAAATAAAACATGTTAGAGCCATGACATATGCTATAACCTACTTGGAAAACTAGGCAGAAATATGAGACAAGAATACAATCAGGGGGTGGGGAGCAGAACAGGGGCTGGTGAACTCCAGGCAGGTTTCCTAGGTGGGATTTGAGCTAAACCCACAAGAATAAATAGAATTTAGATAGATAGAGAAGGGAGCAAATAGAGAATTCCAATGAAACAGAACATCTTGCAGACATAGCTAGAGATAATGCAGCATATTTGAATCAGTATGTGGTATGGGTATGTGGCATATTTAAGTTGGCCCAGTACAACCTCCTCCAAAATAACTGAATATTTAACCATTAGAAATTCATTCCATTTGATAGCCTCTTTAGAAAACACAAACGTACCTAGGCAAGTTAATGTACTGATCTATTAAATATTAGAACTTTGGAGTCAGATAGCCTGGGTTTGATTCTCAGCTATACCACTTCCTAGCTGTGTGACCTTGAGCAAAATTACATAACTTCTTCTTCTAAGTCTGTTCAGGCTGCTATAACAAAATACCAAAGAATAGGATTGTTTATAAGTGACAGAAATTTGTTTCTCATAGTTCAGAGGCTGGAAGTCCAAGATCAGGATGCCCAAATGGTCAAATTCTGGTGAAAACTCAATTTCTGCTTCATAGATGGCACCTTCTTGCTGTGTCCTCATATAGTGGAAGGGACAATGGAGCTCTCTAAAACCCCTTTTATAAGGGCACTAATCCCATTTATGAGGGCTCCATCCTTAGGATCTAATCACCTCCAAAAGGACCCCCTTTCTAATACCATTACCTTAGGGGTTAGGATCTCAACACAAGAATTGGGGAGGGAGGGTACACAAACATTCAGACCACTACATTCTTTGAGTCTCAGTTTCTTGTGAGAAGTGTAAATGAAATATGAGATAATAAGTGCAAATATTAACAATTAATAGTTATTATCATCAACCACTTCATGTAAACTCTGACTGTTGTCTTCCCAACAGCTAGATAGGACAGAGCAGGGACAATGGGCCTTTTGGTAAGCAGAGCCCCAAGATAGGAAAATAAGAATAGCAATGCAAACACTTACATGGTGCTTACTATGTGCCAGGCAATATTCTAAACATTTTATATGTATTAACTCCTTTAATACTTCAACAGCCCAGTGAGGTACTTACTGTTATCCTGTTTTACATAGGAGAAATCTAAGTCATATGGAGGTTGAGTAACTTGCCCAAGGTCACACAGGTAGATTATGGCATAGCCAGCTTTAAATTTAGCCAGTCTGGCCCCAGAGTTCATGTTATTAACCACATTATACTGACTCTCTGTTTTAATAATGGATGAGGACTGAAGCCTTCAGGGAAGGTGCTGTGAAGGAACAACAAATGCCCACAGGCAAGTGTCCTGCTGGACACCACTCAGCTTCAAATAAATTGGCCTGAGAGAGTGGGCATGTTGGCATTGAGGAAGCCATGGAGATATGGGAGGAAAGCACTGACAAGCCAGAACAGCATTTCATCAGGAGAACTTGATGTTCTTTTCTGGCTTTAAAACATCATGAGGCCTCTGTTTGGTCACCAGATAATCCTTAAGGTCCCTTACAAAGCCAAAAAGCTGTGACAATTAAAAACTGTAGAACATAATTATAGTAGATGTTGATTCATGTTGAAGGCTGGGAGACTCATGGAATAAATTAGAGAACATATTCTAAAATAAACAGAACACCATGAAAATAGCAATAGTTCATAATTACTATGAACAATCCATGATAGTTACCAGAGGCAAGAACTTACCTTAAAAAGTGAAGTTTGGCCAAAGAAATTAAACAAGATGGTCTGTAAGTTGCGAAGAAGAATTCTCTTCCTCAGTGATTTAGGCAAATATATGGAAGCCAAAATCCTCCCCAGAGGGACTTTGTTTAGGTAACCCTGCCATGAAATGCCAGGAAATGAAAACTGGAGTCATCACCCTTGAATTTGAAGTCCTCCCCATCTTCCACTCCAGCACTAGACTCAGTCCCAGGGTATTACGTGGAGTGCTGAAGGGTGGAAACTAGCTCCACAAGCTATGCTACACTTTTCACACACACACACACACACACACACACACACACACACACACACACACACTCAGATCACAGGCTAAGATATGACCTGGTGCACATAGACATAGACACACACACACTACCCTTTCCTTTCTAAACTTATCTTTGAATTTCTCTCCCTTTGATCTGCTTCCATCTGGGTATTCATAGAAGTGGAAAGCAGAATGGCAAATTAGGTGATTTGTCATGATTCTCATAAATAAAGGCTAGTCTTAAAAAACAGCCACTGGAAATCCTGGAGAAGAAAAAGCTAGAAAAGGAGGAGGCCAAATTCTGTGTATAAACTCTGCCTGATCTTTGAACCACATATGTACAGGACAGACTCCAAATAAAGATAAAGGAACTCAACTGAGATTTGAGCTGCCATCCAAGAGATGGAATCTACAGTTTGATTCCAACCAAATTACTTGCCTAGTATAACAAAAAATCAATAGCTTTTAGAGGAATGTAGTAGAATTCAGAGTTTCCACAACATAACATTCTCAATATCCAGGATATAATCCGGAATTTCTCAACATGTGACAAAAAATGTAACCCATTTTCAATGAAAGACAATCAATAGAGATCAACTCTGAGATGACTCAGATGTTCAGTCTTTAAAATAAAATATGCTTGCAATTCATGCAAAAGAGAAAATAATAGCAGAGAAACAGAAGCCCCAAAATTAAAATTCTAAAACTGAAAATATAGGATTGAAATTTTTAAAAATGCACTGGAAGGGTTCAGTAGTAACATGAAGATTGAGGTCAATGAACTTAAAGATAAATCAACAGAAATCATACTATCAGAAGAATAGATAGTAATGATATAAAACATGAATAGAGTCTCAGGGACCTGTGGAACAGCAGCATCAAAAAATCTTGTATATATGTAATTAGAGTCCCAAAAAGAAAGAAGAGAGGGAATAGTGAAGAAATAGACCTACATTTACACTAGTGTTTGATTTTTTTGTTAGAATTGCCAACACAAGCCAATTGGGGAAAGAAACATCTTCAACAAATGGTTCTGGAACAACTGGATAGCTATATGGAACAAAATGAACTTCAAACCATACACCACACCACACCTCACACCATATACAAAATTTAATTCAATTAATTAGGATTATAGTCCTAAATATAAAGCTAAAATCACAGATCTTTTAAAGGAAAATATAGGAGAATATCTTCATGACCTTCTGGTAGACAAAGATTTCTTGGACAAGTTGTATATTGTTATTCACAAAAGAACGAATTGATAAGTTATACTGCATCAAAATTAAAACTTATGCTCATCAAAAAACACCATTGAGGAAATACACAGGCAAGCCACAGAGAAAATATTGTCAAAACATATATCTGATAAATGACTTACATCCAGAATATGTAAAAACAAATGCTTACAACTCAATAAGAAGACAAAAACCCAATTTAAAATGGGCAAAAGATTTTAACAGGTACTTTACCAAAGAAGATGTACGGATGGCCAGTACAAAAATTAAAAGTCACTCCACATCACTGACCACTTTAGAAAACAATATGATAGGTTCTTACAAATTTAAACATACATATTATGAGCCAGCTATTCCATTTCTAGGTATGTATTCAAGATATATGAAAACATATGTCCACACAAAGACTTTTACATGAATGTTCAATGCAACATTACTCATAATAGCCCAAACCTGGAAACAATCCCAATGTCCATCAACAGGAGAATAGACAAAAAAATCTATGGTATATTCATACAATGGAATATTATTCAGCAATAAAAAAGAATAAATTACAGAAACAACAAACAACCATTATACTATGTGAAAGAAACCTTATATAATACAGTACATATTATATGATTCCATTTACATAAAGTAAACAGGCAAAACTATAATGGAAAAATATAAGAAATGGTGGTTGCCAATGGAGGCAGTAGTTTCAGGGATTGACTGGGAAGAGGGGTGAATTATATTAATGTTCTATATCATGATAGGAATTTAAGTAACACAGATGTACACATATGTCAAAATTCAGAGAATGTATACTTAGAATTTGTACATTTCCCTGTATATGAACTTGATAATTTTTAACTATAAATTGTTTTGAGCAGTTGTTGGCAGCCTCTGGTGGAAAGGGCTCAGATTTTAAAGCCAGCCAGACATAAGTTTGAATCTTGGCTCAGTCACTAGGCTGTGTATCATTGGGCAAGTTTCTTAACTTCTCTGTTACCTTATCTATACAAAGGAGACAGTAGCACAATGCCCAACATATAATAAGTGCTCCACAAATGATACCAAATAGTAAACTGACATTTGAGATGATTTTAGGTTATGGGGCCAAAGGTGGTATTGTACATCTCATAGACACCATTCCAGCCAAGGTTTTTAGCCTACTGAGGGTTATATGTGAATCTTCCCTGGGATGTTTGTATTTTTATAAGGTTCTCTGGAGATTAAAATCTTATAACATACCTTCTCTTCCTCTCAAGGAATAAATGAATGAAGACAGAACAATATTTGACTGATTGGCTCTCAGATCCCTGAGCTGCACTCACCTCAGGGTCTGTGCCTTCCTTGTAGGAGTGAATACTAAAGGCCATGCCTTCGAATGTGTGGTCCACCCTCAGGACAGTCAAAGCCATGTTGGGCACTGTCAGATTTGCTGTTCTCCCCAAAAAACTCCATCTTGTGACCAACATGCTCAATTATCATCAGAGTTCTACAAAGAACCACAGGTAGAGAAGAGCACTCCTTTTTCATGTAAAACCCATTCTTAAAACATTTCCTTAATGTGAAACTTTTCTTTGAGTTTTAATCACTATCTTTATTTTGTTTAGGAATTATTAAATACTAGTTCTGGCTTTAGAGTCAGACAGACTGAGGTCTAAATCTTAGCTCCTCTAATTTCTAGCTACGTGGGAAAATAAAATAACCTCATTGAGCTTCCATTTCTTTACCTGCAAAGTCAGAGGTAATACTAGCACTCATCTCAAAAGATTGTCTTAAAGATTAAATGAAATTATTGTATATAAAGCCAGATCCTCAGGGCCTCATAAGCCAAGAAATTTGGACTTTATTCTACATGTAACAGAAAGCCACTGAGTAGTTTTAAAAGCAAGGGAATGACACAATATGATGTATGCATTAAAAGGTCATTCTAGCTGTTATGTAGAAAATAGACCATAGAGAGCCCAGAGCAGAGCAGGGAGACAAATTAACAGGTTACTATAGAAAGTCAGCTGGGAGAAATGGGGCTAGGACTAGCGCAGTGGTGGTGGTGGTGGAGATGTAGAGTAGATGAATCCCAGGGATATTTAAGGGATTAAGAAACTATGTACAGTGCCTCACAAGATTTGGTTATTGATTGGTTGTAGGGTAAAGGAAGGTAACTAGATTTATTCTTAAGTTTTTTTGCTTGAGCACTGGATGAATGCATTTTATAGAAATGGAGAACATTGGAGAAGCACCAGAGTTGGGAGATAGATTGAAGGTTTGGTTTGGTGTAACTATTTATTTGGAAATTCGTTATCATTAAGGTTCAGTTAGAATTTGAATGCATCCTTTCACAATTGTGGTTTGAGTAGGATGACTCCATTGCATGGTATTAACAGCTTTCAATACATAGCTATCTGACCTTTAAAATTGGTGATTACTGTATGCAATAGAATTAATAACAAATATTTTAAGTTCCATTAAATAATTTATTTTGCCAAAGTATTAGTACTTACTCATTGCTTACTTCATGCAGATCAGATGCTGAATGGTTTTGCTTTCTTAAAGTAGCATCAATTATTTGTAATATAATCTGGGTTAGGTTCATGCTTATCTCATCACATTGCGAAATAATGGATAATTCAGAAATAATAATCTTTGTTTCCTCTTCATCCAGAAAGGGGGATTCATTTATCAAATTTAAAATGTGCTCTGCAACATCTTCTGCATTCTCTAGAGAAACAAAATTGAAACATAAAACCTGCATTAGTTAGTTTGGGACCGCGCTAGTCTGCTTCCTTTTCTTTAAAAAGTAAGGGCAGTTAAATGGAAATACATAGCAAGGTAACAAAGTTTACAGAAGGAAAATACTGGACTTCAATTTCTACAATAAATGGAATCTCAGAAAATGGCACATAAGTCAAGGTTTTATTCATTAAATCCTTTTAAAAATACACCAGGGGAACCTCCTTGTCACTGAAGAATTACCTTGCAATTAGATTCTAATTAAGTTAAGACTTTTGAGTATTGGATTGAGTTAAGGAGATACTACCTATACTCAAATATCAGCAAATATTCAGTCTATGTTTTCATAATCAAGGGTAGTGATTATGTTTTTATGTCAAGAATCAGCAGTTAACACACTCACAAAAAGCAAATATGGACCACAAAACAATAAAAAGGAACTTAATTAGATTTTTCTAGAGAGTAAGAACAATAGCTATTAACTCGCCTACATTTTTCTTCACTTTTTATTATGGAAATTTTCAAACATGCACAAAAATAGAAAGAATAGTCTAACGAATCCCCATGTACTTCATGAATCACCTAACTTCAACAAGTGTCAATGAAAAGAGCTAATCTGATTTTATCTACACTCCCACCCACTTACCCCAACCCAATGATTTTAAAGCAAATCCCAGACATCATATCATTTCATCCATAAATACTTCAGTACACATTGAAGAATCTTTGTCATAACCACGATACCAATATCATATCTTCAAAAATTTAGCAATAATACTCAAAATCATCAAATATCCAGTCAGTGCTCAAATGTCTTTAATTGTCTCATAAATGCTTTTTTAAACTAGCACTTTGTTTGACTCATTCCCCACTTTTAAAGTTAAGAGCTTTGTTGAACACATACAACACAAATTAGATTTTAGTTCAATATAACCCATATAAAGCTGGGCTCCTTTGTGGCACCCTCCTAGTTTAAAGCACTCACATTCAACTGCAGTAGCCAAAATATAATGGAAAATAATTGAAAAATACAATCTGTTGAGAAAAATTCCAGAGAGATATTACGCTCATAACACACTTAACCCAGGTTGCATTATAAATAACTAACTCTGGGAAAACAAAATAATAAAGCATGAATATAATTCATTCTCTCTCTCTCTCTCTCTCTCTCTCTCACACTCACATATACACACACAACTCTCTGTCATTATCAATGTAAATGAAGCAGTCTTAACTGAGATCCTCTCAACACCCCCACCCCTGCCCTTAACCATTTCCCCCCTCTGCCTGAGAAGGCTTACATAGGAACTGAGTCAGCAGAGAATTCTCTGTGGATATGGAAGGAAGAGGGGAGATTGAACAAGTTTATACTAATTACTTTCAAATTAATATTTTATCCCTGTTACAGCTATCTTCTGATCAGTTAAACAAAGTGAGAAAACAACAAGACTAGGGATGGAAGAAAAATATAGCGTGTTTATTTATAGATCTTTCTACTGCTGTTATTAAATTGTTTAGGCTTTGTTATAAATGGGATAGGCAGAGGTGCCTACCTGGGGTCATTATTCTTTGGGCTGCAGTGGTGTGACTTCACTTCATGCAGTCCCTGCTGTGGCAGAATGAAATTAAACAGCAGACCACTAGGAGACTATTTTGTAGAAAGTAATTCTAGACTTTTCATCTAGAATAATATGGTTTTTAAGTAAAATTCAGGAGAAATTACAAAAAATTTGTAAGAATTTTAAGTCCTCAAGCAAAAGCAATAAAAGGAATCCTCTCTTAATTGTTGTAGAATAAATAGATCCGTATTACTCAAAATGATTATTATTAATCTGACAGTAATTGAAACAATCAAAACAATAATAATGTCTGTTATTTATTGAGCAATTTCTATGAACCAGTATTCTCATTCTCTACTACTACATAATAAACCACCTCCAGATTTAACAGTTTTAAACAACAATTATTATCCCTCATAATTCTGTGTGTTGACTGGGCTCAGCTGAGCAGTTCTCCCTTGTGGTCTCTCATGCAGTTGCAGTCAGATGGCTGCTGGGACTGGAGTCATCTCAAGGCTAGACTGGGCTGAAAGTCTTGATTTAACTTCCAACTGACAAAGAGGGAATGAATTGATGGTGGGCATTTGGGAAACTAGATACTACAACAAGGCATTATACATACATTTTCTCATTTAATCATCACAATAATCCTATGTGATGGGTACTAATATTATCCCCTGTTTACAGATTAAGAAATAAAGACACATAGGTTCTAATGCAGATTTTAATGCAGGCCTGTTTGATTTCAAAGCTAGTGTCCTTTAGTATCACTTTCTACTACAGCATTTGTGCTTTTTCCCCTTTTCTTCATCATGGTGTTGGGGCTTGGAACAGCAGTACTTTGCAGTTCTCCCTGATGTCCTGGGAATTACATTGTTCTGTCTCAATCACACACTATCTTGCCCTGATAGTGGGATGGACACAGACAGAAGAGAGTTTCATGAAAAGTTTCAGCCAACTTCATTAGAGTGTAATGCACCTTCAATACTATGGAGATAAAAAAAATTGAGCACAGCAAAGAACCCACAGACCTTTGAAATAAGGGTATCTTTTCTTTACAATATTTAGGAGTTATGAGAAATGAACATTTAAGTGGGAAACTGAAGAGTTTTCTCCAACCAAGATATCTAATGCTTGTCGGCAGGATTGAAAGCTAAAGAAAAGTGTTCAACATGAATATATTTTTCTTTCTTTTACATTGTATGCATTTTTCATTAAGCTCCTAATTTACAACGAGAAATATTCCTCCAAAGCTAATAAACTTAATAGTTTATTTTTCAGTTATATACATTATAGCCACTATCCACTATTCTCTTCCTCTGCCAATTTTCTTTTCATAAAGTGACTTCTGAAAGTTAATTTTCTAAAAATCCTGACCCAATGCAATACTCTTGTTGTTGTCATAGTTGTTAGTTAACTTTTTCTTTCACAGAGAAAATTCTATTATCATGTCTAAGAAAAATGTGTCACTCAGAAGGAGGGAGGTCAGCATGAAACACAGACCGCCCCCCTCGCTGTCCACTCATTTCAAGCTGCAACACTCCCTATTGCCCTGACTCATGATTTAGAAACCATCAGAGCCTGTGCTTGCTCTTCTAATTCTTCTAGATACTCCTTGGCAAAATCTCGAATTTACATCTGCAAGGAAGACCAGTCTAGAAGTTCACTGCCTCAAGGCAATTCCCAGGTTCTTCTGCAGTGCCTACAATGCCTGTGCCTCAACTTCCTACTATTCATTGCGGGATGGATCTACTTTATGCAGTAGAGCTATGCCTTAGAAGGTGCATATAAACTGAAGCTCTATGGGGAAAACCTTTATGCATACTTTAAAAACGCTGATAAGGAGGTAAAGGACTTTCAGAATAGTGCTGTAAGGAGGGGCTTGAGGAAAAGATCACAGACAGACATCTATTACACTAGTCAAAATTAGCAAAGACAACCATTCAAAGTCTTTGGTGATTGATGGGAAATTTTACAACAAATTGACATGCATTTATTCAACAAAATCTAAAGAAACTGTCAAGTACAGTGGGATGCCATGGCATTTGAGCTAAGAACTGCACCCATCCCCCACAGCTATGCCTTGTGGAAGAATTGTTCCATTGGGTTAGGCAGCCAAGTAGCAGTCACCTTCTCCCACAGCTCCCTGGAGTAGAAAAACTATTCTGAGTGGATTTGACAGCCAGTGAACATTGGCAGTTCTCATCTTTCTGACTCTGGTCTGTGGAAGATTCATACTGGGCAGTGGAAGCAGCTGAGTGCCAGCAATGAGTCCCCTTTCCTTCCAAATACACACACAGCTCCTGCTCCATAGGGAAGAACCTGGTGACATATCTGGTGAAGAGCACATTCACCATCACCACCACCCCCAAGCTTTTGTCCCAGAGGACAGATAATTTGCCCAGAGGAGGATAGGAGAAAGCCTCAAAGACTGGCAACACTGCCCCTACCAAAGGGACAGACTTTAATCGGATCAGACCATGGAGCAGTTTGTGCCCCAAGGTTTTGTCAAAAACAAGAGAACAATCAACTAGCAATTAGATAGCTAACAGCTGGGAGCGATACCAATAGAGGCAGACCAGCCAGAAGCTTAGCGGGGATAATAGAGAAAGAGACAAAGAATCCAGCTCCACAGTCATCCCTGGTGGTCAGGAAAATATGTACATGTCCGGAGGCTGTATCTTCTAAAGAGCAGCATCAGAAGATATACACTGCAGGGGAAGTAAATTTCACTGAGCTAGTCTAACCAAGGACTTTTTTTTTACAGAAATAGAAAAAGCAATTCTAAAATTAATATGAAACCATATACACACACCCAAATAGCCAAATCAATCTTAAGAAAGTAGAACGAAGTCATCACACACCTTGACATTAAAATATATTACAAAGCTGCAGTAATCAAAACAGTGTGGTACTGGTATAAAGACAAACATATAGACCAATGGAACAGAATAGAGAGCCCAGAAATAAATCCACACATATACCATCAACTGATCTTCTACAAGAGTGCCAAGAATATACAATGGGAAAGGATAGTCTCTTCAACAAACAGTGTTGAGATATTCCCATAGAAAAGAATGAAATGGACCTTTGTATTATACCATACACAAAAATCAACTAAAAATGGATTTAAGATTTAAAGAAGTCTTAAAGATGTGGTACATTTATACAATGGAATATTACTCAGCCATAAAAATGAAATCTTACCACTTCAAACAACATGGATAGACCTAGAGGGTATTATGCTGAGGGAAATAAGTCAAACGGAGAAAGACAAATACCATATGGCCTCATTTATATGTGGAATCTGAAGAAAAAATAAACAAAACAAAAACAGACCCATAGATACAGCGAACAAACTGATGGTTGCCAGATGGAAGTGGGTTCAGAGGAGTGGGTGGGAAAAAAAAGGAATTAATAAGTACAAATTAGCAATTACAGAATAGTCACAGGGATGTAAACTACAGCCTAGAGAATATAGTCAATAATATTGTAATGACTACGGATGATGTCAGATGGTTACTAGATTTATCAGGTTTGATCACTTCGTATATAAATATCTAATCACTACATTGTACACCTGAAACTAATATAATATTGTATCTCAACTGTAATTGAAAAATTAAAAAAATATTTAAAAATCAAAATTGTTAAAAATGAGCAAAAAACTTAAACATTTCTCAGAAGAAAACATACAAAAGGCCAATAGATATTATCAAAAGGCCAATAGATATGTGTTCAGCATCAGTAATCATCAGGGAAATGCATATTAAAACCATAATGAGATATCACTTCATAACTGTCAGGATGGCTATTATCAGAAATCAAGAGATACATGTTGGCAAGGGTGCAGAGGAAAGGGAACCCTCATATACTGTTGGTACAGCCATTATGAAAAACAGTATAAAAGTTCCTCAAAAATTAAAAAATAGAACTACCATATGATCCAGCAATCCCACTTGTGGGTATATATCCAAAGGAAATGAAATCACTGTCTTAAAGAGATACCTGCACCCCCATGTTCATTGCAGCATTATTCACAATAGTCAAGATCTGTAAACAACCTAAGTGTCCATCAAGAGATAAATGGATAAAGAAAATTGATTATACACAAATATATATATATATATATTTAATCACACACACAAATATATATATAATCACACACACAAATATATACATATATATCTGTGTGTATGTGCAAAAAAGGAGAATGTGTGTGTGTGTGTGTGTGTGTGTGTGTGTGTAATTCAGCCATAAACAAAGAAGGAAATTCTTCCATTTGCAAGAACATAGACGAACCTATAGGACATTATGCTAAGTGTAATAAGCCAGATGTAGAAAGACAGATACTGCATGATCTCACTTATATGTGAAATCTAAAAAAAAAGTTGAACTCACAGAAACACAGGATAGAATGGTGGTTGTCAGAGGCTGGGGGAGGAGGAAATGGGGAGTTACTAATCAATAGGCATCAAGTTTCAGTTAAGTAAGATGAAAAAGTTCTAGAGATCTGCTATACAACATTGTACCTATTTAGTCAATAGTCATGTATTATACATTTAAAAATTTATCAGAAGGGTAAATCTCATGTTAAGTGTTGTTACTACAACAAAGTAAAATTAAAAGAAGAAAGAAAGTAGAGTAGCCATTTCCAGAGGCTAGAAGGAGGGGTAAAGCAAGAATGACTGCTAATGTGTACAGGTTTCTTTTTGGAGTGATTAAAATGTTCTGGAATTAGTGGTGATGGTTGCACAATCTAGAGAATATTCTAAAAATCACAGATTGTACACATTAAATGGATGAGTTTTATGACACATGAATATCTTCATAAAATTTTTAAACTACATTGAGATATCAATTTCTGCTTATCAAAGATCCAAAACTCTGATAACATGCTGTGCATGATGAAGGTGTTCTGAAACAGGTACTTTCATACCTTGCAAGTGGGAGTATAAATTGATGCAACTATTACAGAGAGCATTTTGACACCATCAAAAGTATGATTGAGCCAGCAATTCTACTTTTAGGAATTTATGCTTCAAGAATACCCAACTTGCACAAAATGACATATGACTGATATCTATTTCAGCAACTCTTTAAAAACAAAATGTTTTTTTAACAACTTAAATGTCCATCCATAGGAAACAAGTTAAAGAAATAAATTGTGGCATAATATAATACAGCAAAAAAATATACTAATATGATAATTTCTCCAAAATATTAAGAGGAAAAGAACAAGGTGCACAACAGCATATGCAGCATGCTTCAGTTGGTGTACAAAAAAGGAGAATATATATGTATATGTATATGTACATGTATATGTACATGTATGTGTATGTGTATATGTATGTGTATGTATATGTGTTTCTGTATACATACACACATATGTATGTATAAATTTCCTTATAGATGCATAAAACATCTCTGTGGATATTAACTGAATGGCTGGGGTCAGCAGTGGGAAGGAAATGTTTTACTGTATATTTTTTTGTTTTTTCAATATTGAACTATGTGAAGAGCTTTCTATTAAAATTTTTTAAAAATTAAAATGAAATGAAAAATAATTATAGCCAAAAATTATAAAATAAAAATTATAAAACTAAAAACAATGATACTCTTAACTTATCATGCCCAACTCCTACCTCCACCAACATTTTCTGAAGCTGGGTTTCTGTAAGGTAGATTTTTCTACGTGAGGGTTTGCCTATACTGTCTCTGATCTCAGGTCCAGCAGACCAACTGAAGTTCCATTATTTCTCCAATGTGTACAGAACAGTCTTACCATCACTGATAGTAATATTAGCAAGATTCACAATGTTATCAGGAAGTTCTTGAAGCAACTTGCATTGTTTATACTTTGGTTTTTCCCACTGAGATTTGCCAGTGTCGATACTGATTGAGCTGAAAAAGAGAAGAGAGAAGAACAAGCTTTCTCATTGGAGGATGAGGCCAGAATAGTCTCAAAGCAAATGGTGAAGCAAATAGTCATTAAGCAAATGGCTTATCTTTGGCATGCCTCTCCTTTGCCCACTCCCAGCCTCCTGCCTGAGCTAGCAAAGGCAGAAGCCCAGTGCTTATAAAGTGAAGAACATTTTGCTCTTGGGGAGGAAGTGAATCTAATGTCCCCATGCAGGAGGTATAAACAGGCAAGAGAGTTTGAGATGGGGCATGGCAATGTCCAGCAGATCAAGAGTTAAGGCAGAGATTTTGCTGCTCTGGACATGACTCCTTACCCTCACTTTCCTTTCTTATCCTCATTCCTGTTAGAATGTGGTCTCTATCTCAGCATATTAATTTATTTAAGGCAATTAGTATAGCATCCTCTGCAGTTCATTGGCTTTCATCATCCATCCTCCTCTATGCCTCATCCAATTCAAATCAGTTCATTTCCAGTCAGTTAATGCATTTATTGAGCACCTACTATGTTCTAGGACTGGTAGTAGGTAGTGAAGACAAATAGGAGAGATCTCGTCCCTCAGGGAGCTTATAACTTGCTGGTTTGATACTGTAAATGTAACTACATTTAATAGGCAAGATATGAGATGAAAAGTTGTATAAAGAAGACTGAATCTATCAAACCACTAAGCAAGAAAACTTATTTGCAACTTTTGAGCTAAGCTAGTTGCTGCAAGGACAGAGATGGAGAAAGCACCCCACCCCAAGCAGAGCAAGACATGTGTAAGCACTCATTGAGTACATAATAGCAAATCATCCTTTTTTGACTAAAATGTGGTAAAGAAGGGAATCATAGGTCTTCAGTACTGTATTCAAGGGTATATACTTAATTAATTAGTCAATGTGGAACCAGAGTGAGAAAATGACATGATAGCAACCATACTTTAGGAAAATCATGCTGGCAGCAGTATGGAGTATAGCTGGGGGTTGGTGAACAGTCAGAAGGCAAGGGGACTGTTCTAATAGTAGGCAAAATGTAGTGGCAGTGGGGTTGGAAAGGAAAGGCTAGATGTGAGCTCTGATTATGGCCATAAAAGCCACATAATTTGCTGACTGATTAGATGTAGGGAGGAAGAGGTAGACTACAATTAAAGATGTTGTCCCCCAAAAGAGAGCTTTTAAGCCTTTGTCAAAACCTGCTGTCCTTCTGGTCTACCCACTTAACTTAATAATATAAACCGTTATAACAGAAAGTAAGAGAAAGACTGATGATTTTAAAAATGAAAATGATAAAGTCAACAATAGAAAAGCAACTTAGTATATTATTATGGCCCATCAATGAGGTAGTTTCTGAGGCAGTTTTTCAAAGTGGTCCTTATGAAGATGAATGTGAAACATGGAAAATGTTGATAAACCACTGAATGAAAGGATAAATTCCATTATTGATATGAAGACAGTGATTACCACTGCATAAAACTTAAAGGAATGCAGTGAAAGGCTAGATGAAAAAAAATATGCCTACCTGAAAACAACTGCATTCAGGTGGTGGGATTATAGGTGACTTTTTCTATTTTCTCTTCTTGAAAATTTTTCTGCAATGTTATTATGTTCCATTGTATGCTTAAGTAGGTCCAAAAAGTGAAAGGAAGACTGGCAGTAGAAGAAAAGAGGGAGGAAGCATACTCAGACAAATGACATAGAAACATGCCCCCCAATAAGCAGATCTTTGTGTATCTGAACTGGCCATTAGAACTTGGCTGGTACATACCAGATTCTAGTAGCGTTTTCAGCCTCATTTTTTAGGCATCTAGTTTGGGCTGTCTCAATAGGGTTGGTTAAGAGCCACTTATATGTACCTTTGTATTTAGAGACTGTCTCATCGGCTTTGCACTTTCCTGGTTCTACGGAGAAGATATACGCACATTTTAAAGGGCAAAAGGTACTTAAAAGTATCATGAACATCCATTACAACCCATCATTACTACCCTGCACACAAATATCAGCAAATTAAAAAAGTAACTTTTTCTATCAGGCCATTTAAAGCAGGCTTCATTGAAAGTAGCATTAAATGGAATTCTTTTTTAAAAAAAATAAGCCTCCCAGTACAACCTCACATTTAGTCCTTTTCATTAAAACTACTAGTTGACTGGACAGGTTTCTTTGTTTATGTTTTTATTTTTTTAAAGATACACATGTTTTGAAAACAATTCAAGCCACACACAGAGGTGTAGAGTGAAAATCAAAAGTCCCACCTGCCACTTGCCCTCCTTCTGAAGTATCCACTGTTAATAGTGTGAGATGCAATGATAGAAGACTAAAAGCTGACTTCTCATTCTGGATGTCTCCTTCCTTCTTAATGGACTCTAGGGTGGATTTTGTTTTGATAAACTCAATGTATCTGCCATCACCAATATAGACAGGGGAGCTCTTTTCTGATGTTGGTGCTGAGGGCAAGGTATTGCTACCAAGTGTTGTCACCTTAAGGCAGATGTACCTATGTTAAATTTATGTGATAAGCTCCCAGTTTTTACTGACCACTCACTGGGTTTGTGAGCCAATTCCAGAAATCTTTCCCTCAGGGGTTATGATCCAAGAAGTGGCCCAGCCAGCCTTGCCAAGCCATCCTAGTCTCCTCCTCTGAGTGAAGATGGAAGATGCCTTCAGCTCAATCTCAAGAAGCTGCTCATTTGCGTCATTTGCATAGCAGTTCTGCATGTGGCTTCAACACTTCTCTGCCTTCCATCTCACTCTCATTCACAGTCACATACTGCCCTCTGCCACCTAATTAGTTTGTTACCAAGGATTGTGCATTCTAATGCCTATGTGTGTTATCTTGGTTAGCTCAATACTTTTTACCACAGTCTGTTGGGGAAAAGGAAGAAAGCCGGCAGCAATGGGAAGGAGATGGAGAAGCCTAATAGCTTTTCTCTTTTACCATTAAAGCCTTGCTAATCTAAAAAGAAAATGCCCATGAGAGAAATCCTAGACTGCCTCTCCAGATCACTTTCCAAAATTAATAGCCTGGTTAAATCAATCAATAAATTACCAAGAATCTATTGGGCAGATGTTGTGTGTAATGAGGAAGCTCTCCAGGTCTCTGGTATTTATGCAAGAGAGACAATCCTTCTACTCCATTGATGGACTGGTCACTGATGAAATCCAGAGCTGACCAAGTGTCTGGTAGCCCCTATGGCACTCTGTTTTTTTTTTTTTTTAATAACCTCTTTTAAGAAAGGTAGAAAGGTTGTTAAGGCAGGTAAGCACTGAGGACATGGAAAGGAACATAAAGACCATTTCTTTCCACTTTGAACTCAGGATCTCTTAATGTGTATGTATTATAAGCTTTATAATTAGGGGAGTGAATTCATGTGGAAATACTCCCTCAAGTTACCTAGTTTTTTCACTGCAATATATTCAGACTTTACTAATAACGTCAATTGATCTCCTGTGAAGTTTCCATACATGAAGTTGCCATGTATTTTACTTTTGATCCTACTGATCAATTTGGTGGTTGCTAAAGAAGAATTGGCTTTTATAATGGCCTGACAAACACATCTAAAAAAGCAGAACAAAAGAGAAAGATGTTGCAATTATGTCAACAGAGTGCAAATTGACCTGCTGTGATGAAATTCTATACAGATGACTTAATCGGTAGTCCATAAATATCAAACATTTTACAGCTAGTAAGTGGCAATTCTTAAGAAATAATGTAAGACAGCATATTGAAATCTTCTGATAAATTTTCTCATGCCCCAAACAACTCAAAACCTATTTTCAAAAGGTCAGCAACATTTGCATTATATTGAAATTGACTAGCCATGCTATTTCTCTAAGACTTTTTGATAATTAATAGAGAAGATGAAGTATTCAGGATTTATTACTTCAGAGAAAACATTTAACCCCTTTGGTCTCCAATTTATCCACCATTACTACAATAAGGTAAATAGGTACATGCTCAATTAATCTATAAAGATGTGTTCTACAGAAGGCTGATTTGTATAATAGAATAATAATAATGATAATGATAATTATAGTAGCTAACATTTGTAGAGCTCTTGCTCTACATGTTTTGATTCATGTTATCCTCATAGTGCTCATATTATCCCCACTCTACAGATAAGGAAACCGAGCCTTAGCCAAGGTTACAAAGACCTAGCATTTCATTTCTAAATGCTCTTTCCAATAAAAGATATGTTATGAATGAATGAGGCTGTCATTGACCTCAACTTCTGTAGTGAGGTCCTCAAACATTCAAAAACCTTTACTATTCCATTATATAGCACATTTCAGATTCAAAAACTTACCCATACCTTTTCTCCATTTGTAGATGCATCTTTTTGAAGAACACATTTCCTATGTTTCCTACCAGCTGTGAAAAGCTAGACGTGCCCATGTTTACTCAAAATTTCTCTCTATGTCCAATCTAAACCATGCCTCCCCCTCCATTGATCCATGTTTAGTGAAGTCCCTGCTCATCCTACACATTTCATTTTGAGCCTATCTCTTCTCAGCTTTCATTGTTCCAGTCTGAAGAGGGCTCCTTTTTTTTAAAACTTGTCCTTTTCCTGCAACAGACCCTCTATTCTTAGCACCCTGAATATTTCAATGACTTTTCCATGAGCCTTCTTTGGCTATATGTTCTTCTTGAGTTGTATCAAGAAGGGTAGCAATAGTTAGTGTTCTGGGAGGAGCTGGACCATGAGTCTGAACAGGACCAAGGATGCTTTCCATGTTGTTTGTTCAATTTCCCTGCTCTGTATTTTTTGGACTTTTTTGATGACAACAAACACTTTATTCCCCCATTCCAAAATTATGACCACTTTGGACCCAATTTTCTCTTCACTACAAAGAGGCAGCAGACAGGCTACTACACTGTGCTGTGACCAACTGAAACAACTTATTTCATGAAGGCAAGAGCCCAATTACAGCCTCTGTAAAATAACCACCAGGTACTTTGATCTCCTCCTGACAACTCTGACCAACAGACTGCACTTACAGAATTAAATGGAAGGAAAATCAGAACTAAATGTACCAGCTATGAATAAACCGAGCTCCTACCTGTATAGTACATAGGAAATTGTAGCCATCTCTTGCCCTTCTCTCTGTTCCAAATAATGCAAAAGAAAAGTACATAGCCACTGAGATCTTTAAACAAACGTCACAACTGAGTACAAGATTTATTGTCAACAACAACAACCATAATTATACTTTATATTTATGTAACCCATTGCCATCTTCAAATCACCCTTAAAAACATCAATGCATATTTAGTCCTCATACCAACCCTGTAAGGTGAGCAATCCACATATTGTCACTCCATTTTCTATGTGAGGAATCTATGCTCAGAGAAGTTAAATGATCTGCACAGTACCACACAGCAGATGAGTCCCAGAACTGGTAGTAGAATCTAATCCTTCTGGATCTGAAGCTTAACATGGTGATGACAATAGTAGACAGTACCAAGTATTTATTATGCTCTATGTCCTGTGCTAAGCACTTTACATAAATTATCTCACTCTATCTTTCCAACAGCCCTGTGAGGAACCATAATAGTGTTATCCTCATTTCACAGACAAGGAAACTGAGGCACAGAGAGGTTAATTAAGTTGTCCAAGGTCTCAGTGGAAGAGTAGGGATCCTAACCCAGGCAGGCTGACTATAGGGACAACATTATCACTAAAAGTCTTTTACATCTATTATTTGAAGGAGATTTTAGTTATGTCATATTATTGATCATGTATTAAAAAATTCTGATTCAGCTATTTACAAAAAGTATTTTAAATGGTATAAATAATTTGGAATGCATTGTAGGCTTGATTGTATTTTGCATATTCAAAACATTTATCTCATATTTAAATACCTTAAAAGCTGTGTGCTTACTAATCTTTTTAGAGTCTAACATTGTAAAATTTTTGGGCACTGGAATAAGTGCCTGAATTGAGACAAGAATGATGAGAGATAGTTTGTCACACTCTGACTTCAAATATACACAAATAGAGAGTGAATTTATCATGTGAATGCCAGTCTTGCAAGCAACTGCATCACTCTTGGAAGAACCAGGCTTCTTTGCAAGAAGTCCACAATGTAGAATTTCCATTTACCATTTACAATCCTCAAGTCATTCTATACTCCCATAGCCCACAAAATTTGCCTCAAAAAACTGTCATATAGTTCAGAAAAGCTGAGAGTGGTTTCCTTAATGGGTTCTTGTGTAGAACTCAAAGAACTTCATGTATTTTAACCTTAAATAATCACAAATGAGCCTGGCCTGACAATACACACCTGGATGGAAGAGCTATTTACTTATATCTGATCAGGTATAGGATGGGATACAAGTATATTTCTTTTGAAAAATTACTTACAAAACCTCAGTCCATGGTTATTTCATCCTCAGAAGTGTCTTTGTATCAAAAGCATCAAAAATTATAGAAAGATGAAATAGAGTACCAAATGCACAAGGGCACAAGTTCAGGAAAAAGACAACTCTGAGGCAGAACAGTAGAATCCCCCATCTTGGAATATTCAAATGATACAAGGGCTCCAGGGAGACACTTCAAAGAGCTTGGTCATTATTTGCATACCAAAATGATGGTAAGCCTTTGACTCAGCAATTTTACTTCCAGGAATCTATCCCATAATAGTAATAGCAAGGGTGTATAAAAATATAGCTGCAAGGGTGGAAATAACTGAAATGTCCATTACTAGGTAATTGAATAAATACACCATGACACACCCATACAAAAGAATGCTATGCAAACATTAAAATGAATAAGTTAAATCTGTATATGTTTGCCTGAAAAGATGTACATGATGCATTCTAAAGTAAGAAAAGAAAATTGTAAAACAGCATGTAGAGTAGGATTCCATTCTCTTAGTGAATGCATGGCAACAAATCTAGAGGAATAGGTAAAATAATTCGTTAACCAGAGTTCTTGGAGCGGATGGGCAAAGGCGGGTTTCTGGAGACTTTCACTATCCCAGTTGTATATTTCTGTAAAGCTTTAAGATTTTACAATAGCTACATATAATTTTTGTAATAAGGAAAAATAATTGACACAATTTTTGAAAAGAATGTTGTATACTCCTCCAGACACCCCAATTCCCTTTTAATAACCTACCATAAATTTACTTCCATTACTTTCTATAAACCTTCTTGAACCTATTTATATTTGAACATTCAGTAGAAACCAAAATCCCAGTGTGTGGAAGATAAGCAGTCACTTTTACTGTTTTAAAAATCAGTTTACTATGGTATACCAGAGCCATGACTATTTTTCAAAAAGATTCTTCTGGATGTTTCTTTAATAGAGGACCGGTATGTGTGCAGATAAAGAGCAGAGGGAATATTTCTCCGATGACCAATTGCTTCTGTCATGGTCTCCTTGATACTACTTAGTACCTGCGATTTCACTACGATCACCTCTCCAAATTTGTGTCCCAGGCACGTCTTGGACTAGTCAGCATTCCTCACTTTAAACATTTCAAGTTCCCTTTATAATTTCTAATTCCTTAAAGTGCATTATCTAAAATTAAAAAGCCTTATAAATCTTCATGCATTGGCCATTCCGAGACTTTTATCCCTTTAAGGCATGATTTTTTTTTTGTCTAAGTCACAGAATCATAGCATTTTAAAACTGAAAGGGCCATTAGAGGGAACTGAGTCCAATTCCACTGTTTCTCCTGCATATTTTCTTCTGTTTTGCTTTCGCATAGGCTTTACACACTACAGTAATGATACAAATTTCTTTCTCATTCCAAAGAGAACCTACATTCAGAAGGAAAGATGCAATTCAAACTGCAGCAGTCCCTACATCTCGGACAAATCAAAGGAAATCACCTCCAGATAGGCAGACCCAGAATGCCCTCAAACTGCCCTTTGACCTACCATACATGACATTAACATACCTGCTTTTAATTTGAATAGTCAGATTAGTGAGAGCAAATTCACTGTCCTGAAATATAGACTTCAACTGTAAAAGACAAAACATATCAGTTTTAGTATTCCTTTATTTAGTATTCCTCTCTTTAGTTCTCCTCTATCTTAACCCAGCAAAGTTACCTGCGATGATGCGATCATTAAGTTACATTCATAATTTCAATTGGTTCAACATTTCTATGTGCTCCACTTAGTTTTTACCTGCAGTTATAAGCTGAATTACGTTCCCCCAAAATGTATATGTTGAAGCCCTAACCCTCTAATGTGACTGTATTTGGAAATAGGGCCTTTAAGGAAGTTATTAAGGCTAAATGAAGTTCTAAAGGTGGAGCTCTAATCCAGTAGGATTGATGTCCTCATAAGAAGAGGAAGAAACACCAGATATCTCTCTCTCTCTCTCTCTCTCTCTCTCTCTCTCTCTCTCTCTCTCTCTCTCTCTGCATGCATACACACAGACAGAGAAAAAGCCATGTGAGGATACAATGAGAAGGTGGCCATCTACAAGCCAAGGAGAGAGACCTCACCAGAAACCAACCCTGCCGGCATATTGATATTGGACTTCCAGTCTCCAGAATTATGTGAAAATAATGTTGTTTAAGCCACCCTATGCATTATATTTTGTTATGGCAACCCTAATGGATGAATATACCAACCCATTTTCAAGCACTTATAATCATGTCACATACACTTGAAAATAAATGCTGATGGGAAAAGATAGGAAGCAGACATGATCATCTATTGTTGGTGGAGATACAAGTTGGTATTACCTATCTGGAAGGTCACTTATCGATAACTATTCAAATGTGAAATGTTCATGTCCTTTGATCCAGCAATTCCAGTTCTAGGAAGTTATCCTATAGAAATACTCAAGTGCCCCCCAAAATTTATTGCAAGAGCATTATTGTCTGCATTGTTTCCAAATAGAGAAAAAATAGAAACAACATAAATGTTCACCAATGGATACCTGGATTTAAAAAAAAAATGCTACAATTACAATCATCTAGTGAAATCCCATGTATGCATTAAAGTGTATGAGGTAGATCTATATTTCTCATCATGATTATGCTCAAAGATAGATGGCTAAGTAAAAAAGAAGTTGCAAAATAGCGTAATTAGTAGGACTCCAATATTTTTGTAAAAGAACATACATGCATCAATGTTCTTGTATGTATAGAAAAAATCTGAAAGAATATACTTCAAACTGTTAAGAAGAGTTAATACAAGGAACAATATTAGAGAGACAACATTTACATTCTGGGTTTCAGAATTCAGTTTCTGGATTTTTACAGAGAGTATCTAGTACTCTTACTATCAGAAAAATGTAAGGATAAATAAAACATTTATTTTGTAGGAAAGAGAAGAAAATAAAATGCAGAAAACAAAAAAATATTTAAATAACAATGGCATAGACTTTGTTATATCTGCTCTCTTACTTTCCTCAAATAGGAAAATTTGGCAAAGATCCAGCATTTGTGTCAGTAGAGGGAAATGTATAGTTCTAAACAAATTAAAATATTAACATTCTATAAAAGCTTTCAGCATTGGCACTATGAAAGAGAAACCACATACATACTCATGGTGATGATTACAGAGTGGATAGATTTGCAGCAAAAAAAAGTCAAAACCAATTAGCTGTGAAATGTATTATGAGTAGAAAAAGCAAAGCTCAGTTTTAATAGTCAGTCTTTGTCATATGTATACATATTCACATATTTTATATATACAGCAAATATTCAAAAGATTATTTTACCCAATTTCCTGACAATTCATTTACAACACTGGTAATGGGGATCACTGGCTCTTCATTGAAGACAGAGAAGTTCATTTTAATATTGTAGAAGGAAACTGTAATTAAAAATAAGGAGATTAATTTTATGCATCTAGTTCAAGAAATTTAACTTCTGTTGATTTGGTCAAAATTGCTCTTCATTTTAAGGAAACCAAACAATGAAGTCTTATTCTTAAATTTTGCTTGATTTCAAGGTCAAAAACCAGCACTTTTGGCTTCATATTCAAAAGCAAAACGGGACATAGCTTTTCATTTTTGCTTTAATGATTTGGGCAGTTCCCTGATTTATACATAGTTGATAGGCATTCCACAAATCTCACAAATCCTCAATTTTCATTAGCCAACAGATTTATAGTCCATATAATGACCAAACTGAACATTATCTTAAAAGAATATTTGTCCCAAAAAATATTTATATTTTTCCATGCCATTCTCTCTGCTTCAAGTTTTCCTCTGTGGGTCCCTCTTTCTTTTGTCTGTCTTGTAAAATTTCAATTTTAGAATGTTGATAGTTGAAGGAACATCCAAAATTTGAGCAATATAGAAGCCAAATATTCCTTGGCCACTGATAAGCATTCCAAGCCAGCTGGAGGCGAAGATTGGAGAAGGCTGAGACTTATATAAGAGGAATTCAGAAGAGGCGGAAAAAATGGCATAGATGATAGAGGCTTTGTTCATCCCTCTTGTGACCAAATCAAAGTTGTGACAGAAACACGGAGCAAATAGCAAGCAAAGACACCTGGGATCTAGATGAACAGAAGCACTACAACTAGGGAGAGAAATAAGAAATCATCCTGCAACTGCATAAGGTAAGAGGAGGTGAAGACATGAGGCTGCCCGGTGTGAGCGGTACAGAGGCTGCAGCCCCTGCAACTGGCAGCTGCAGATAACTCTTAAAGAGACCATGTTGGCATACGGACATTCTCGGTGATGGACTTGCTCGCTCTGAGCATCAGCACAAGGTGAGCTGCACGGGGAGCTCCAGAGACTTACAGGGGACACTGAGTTGTCAGAGTGAGGGCCAGAGGTGAGGCTCTCTCCCAGACAAAAGTGCCAGTAGTACCCATCGTTCCTCTGTTGAGCCCTCCTCCATCCCAGTGTGTGGACTCAGCACTCTCATAGCTGAGACATCATCAAACTGGATGAGAGAGGTCACTCTGCCCAGAGGATTCCCTGAAACTCTGCCTCCCCCAACTCGCAGCCCCACCCAAGCCACATCCAGTTGTGTCCTTGGCAAGACCTATGCTCCTTGCTGAGCAGCGCTTAGACTCACACTGGTGGCAGTTGGCCTTGGTTTCTGGCATCGCCTCTCAAGGCAACTATAAGCACAGTGTCTGTGGATTGCTTGCTGAATCTTAACAGGTGGACCCGGAGGGGCACAGGCTGGGGCTAAACTTGGCCTGTGGCTGAACCTCTCTCAGGACTGTGCCACTGGACACCTACTATGCAAAGCCACACTAAAAAGACTGGGAGACTTAGGAGCTTTCCTTAGTACATAGAAACAGACACAGAAGGAAGTCAAAATGGGAAGACAAAGAAACAGAAATCATATGAGAGAACAGAACAGAGATCCAGGAAAATGAAGTCAAGCAATCTAACAGATGCAGAGTTCAAAACACTGGTTATAAAGATGCTCAATGAACTTAGGGGAAGTATAGATGAACTCAGTGAGAACTTTAACAAAGAGATAAAAAACATAAAAATGGAAATGGAAATTATAAAAGGAAACCAGTCAGAGA